TACTACCTTTTACCTCAGCACCACCACAATATCCATCACTACAACCATCCACGATTTGATATTTTTCATCTCCTTTTCCTTTCCTTATCTCGAGTTCCGCTTGCTGACCGACGTTTCTGAATTCATTTGAGCACGACCAACCCATGTTTTATGCCCCGAAAGAGGAGGATACCAACTGTTTGGTTTCGCACGTTGGCCTTTCCAGCCACGTGCAAAACACGACACCAGAGTGCAGGATTTTCTTAATGGCCCAGCTTCATCACTCCATCAACAACCAACGGAAGAGACATTGGAGGGGAAATTTGGAGGGGCAAGTTTTGTTCTGTTCAGTTTGTTCGCCTCTTCTTTTCGATTCTCTGATTCTTGTTCAGTCCTTTCTGTTTTTTTGATTCTTTTTTTATCTCTATAGTTTTTCTGAACCGCCCCACCATTCCCTTTCCCTTTTTTACACGCTCTTCCACACCAACTTAATCGTAGATAGCTAAATAGTGAGACCCCCAGCGACTGGATCTGCAGTCGTAGTTTTGAATTTTTGAGGAGGACATACCAATGATATCAAGGGGAGGAAAAGGTGGAATAGGGAATAGGAAAAACCACGACTTGGACTAGGGCGAAAAAGGCCGGGACAGGAAGGAAGTGGTGGACAATTTTGTGGCAACGGTCTCGAAGGACTGTTCTGGAGGAAGGGGGATGGGGGCCAAAAATGGGACAAAATTCGTTTGTTATCGTTGGGAAACAAAACCTCGAGGGGGCAAAGCCAGTACTAGTTAGATTTTTTCGTTTAACCTGCGCACAATGAGGAATACACGGTCATTTCAGAATGAGGTCTTTGACTATTAGCGAACTTGGTGATACAGCATCTCACAGATATTCTCAGACTGCGTATCACGGATCTTGAGTAAGAGTGACATGGTTGTGCGATTTCCGGGCTCTACTGCATCTCCCGAGAGGAACGGGGAAAACTACAGACGAGATGGACGGCCGGTCTCACGGTCTTTCGCCGGCAGTTGGAGGGGACAGAGGAGGAAGGGGTTCCTGATCTATTCCTTCAAAAGACTCGGGAGTCACGTAGGACCCGAGCATCCTGTCTCTCGTGTCGAACTGCCATGCCATGACTCCTCGACCCCCGCTTCCTCGTGCCTTGCGCCCCCCCCCCCCTCTTAGTCAAGAACTCAACGCCCACTAGCACCAACCACTCTCAAAGCCATATCCCGACCGTCGGAATCGCGATGGTGGATGGATGGGGCTCGTGGGAAGACCGAGAAAGATGTGCCGCAGAAACACATGGAAGACAAGATAGGGGACATGGGGAGTCAGTTAGGGGAGTGGAAAACGGCGCGGGATGGGTTTAGGGGGTTTTCTTGGGCATGCGTAGTATAGACTTGTAGACTTGTCGAGCTGGGATGGAGGGGGACTTGAGGACGTGGCATTGCCCAAAGGGGGAAGGACGATGAGCAGCAGACGAGGGAAAGAAGGAGAAGGCCAGGCCGCCGGCGGGAGGTGATTCGACTTTGACGCTGCGCGGGATCCGGGGACAAGGCAGGGGTAAGTGTAAGTTGTGAGGGACCCCCCGGCCCCCGACCCCCGATGCCGATGGGTCGAAGATCGGTGGGGTCCTAAGAGGGGCAGGTCGTTTATTCACACATAGCCGGACGGTTGGCACTTTGCAGAAGATGGGCCTGGGCCAGAGCCAGAGCCAAGGGCGGGTGAATGTGCTGCGGCCTTGGGGTTGGATAGTGGCAGGGCAAGGCGAGGGCAGTTGGTGCCGCGTTTTGTGAGTGTGTGCTTCCGTGTGGATATCTGTACATACTGCGCATGCTTCCCGTACCTACATATCCCGTACCCTGCGTGCGTCTTCTCCTCCCGTGCCTGGTCCAGGAACACGGTCAACTGCCGATCGAGACTGGTGTGGTGGGGGAGAGACGGACGATGGGTGGTATTCCGTAGGACGACGACGTTATCTTGGCTCCTTGTTAGGTCCTGCACTACTTGATCTCCCTTTCCCTTCACTGTCTGGATTCTGGAGTGAGGAGTCATAGCCTTCTGGGGGCTTGGGAGAACCGCGAGAAGAAGCCTCAATGCTCGTGGGTTTACTGGGGTGGTGGTGGTGGTGGTATTGCAGGGGAGTTTGGGTACGTGGTCAAGGAAAGCGGGTGTGTGTAGGCTACGGGTACCACACACACACATTTACTCGCCCACGCACTTACATGGGCAGATACGGCAAGTGACTGTCATCGTCGAGGGACCACGCTACAGTGGACGAAAGATGCCAGGGGTTTCCGGGTTGGGGGCAGGGGGGAGGAAGAAGATCAGACCAGGAACCGGAACCAGACTATACTACGATGTGGTGTTAGGCGCAAAGCTGAACTACAAGGGGAGCCTCCCAAACGGAAACCCGGCGTGTCCGGTGGAGGTGGATGTGGATGATGCTCTTCGCCCCGGAGGAGGAAGCCGGGAGGGGCACTTCGCTTCGATTACCTGTCCGCCATGGGAGGGGGCCAGAGGGCATGAAGTATGATTGCGGGTGGATGCTTTGGACCTTCCTTTTTGCTATGGGCTTGGGACTTTGGAAGGTGGTTCAGCTGGCAGGGGGATAGACACCAGCAGAGCGAGCAACCTATGGATGTTTTGGGCTTGTGGTACAGGTGTTTGTGCGATGGCCATGGGGAAGAGATATGTTCTGTTATGCCCGTTACAGTGCTGGAAGGGAAACAGAAACGACGTTTCGTCTCTTACACAAACGCTCTGGCACCACACTTGAGGTGACGGCGGCTACTGTGACAAAACATTGCTTAGTTTGGACGGAAACCCGCGCGGCGATGTGATAGACACACGACTCGACGCATGTCGAATGGATGGGCGCCGTGAATTATGGCTGGCCGATTCGACGGACAACCGGGAGCCACTGATCTTTGGTCTTCGGATATCGGAGAACGGCCGCTCCAGCTTTTCCTTTACCTTTGCAACCTCTGCCTGCCTTCTTCTCCTACTCTGTCGCCCGGAGAGAGCCCGGGTTTGACAGTCCGTGTTCTCAGGGATCTTCCAGGAACCTCGGTCTCTAGCAAGAACTTCCTTCTTTTCTTCTGCGGCTAGTGTGATCTCTCCCCCGGGTCCCTGACTTGTCTTCGGGTTTTCGCTCGTTCTATGGACCATTTGCGGTTGTTTCGGTTCGGCGGAGTATCCCAGAGAAAGAGTCTCTACATCCCGGAAGAAGATCCATTTAGGCAAAGGGCAGAAGATCAACCAAGGAATTCTGTTGGTTCGTGACGAGTGCGATGGGAAAAGGAGCAGAAAAAAAACCCCAAGAACCACCTTCACTGGACCCCCTCCCGAAAAGAGGAGGAATAGGAACCAGAGAACGCAAAGAAGTGTTCCTGAGAGGGCTGCATGCGTATGTGCGTAATCTCCCGGAATTCATGCATCTCGACCGGGAGACCCCGCCATTATATATATATTCTGTGGGCTGTACCAGGGGGAAGGACTCTGAGGAGGGGCAGCGCGCGCCGCGCACAGGCTTTTCCCATCTATTTTCCCGGCGCTGGCGGGGGTGAGTGATTGGCGGGCGATCGTGCTTATTCTTTTCTTGCCCTACGAGAGTATCCATATTTACCATATGGGACACACGGCAAAAGCTGCAGAAAGGGGGAAAAGTGACGCAGAGTACTGGGGGGTTTAAGGAAGAAGTGGAGAGAGTTGTATCCGTAGGTTGAACCGTTGGCCGCTATCGGCCGGACGAGGTTCCAAGTTTGTGGTAAAGTCCCGGGCCCGGTGAGGGTAGGCAGGTAACTACCGTAGTCCGAGGTCGTATCCGGATTCTCTTTTCTGCACGCAGTGTCGGCTGCGGGAGGGGAAGGGAGAGGAACGGTGGGATGTTGCCGGGAAGAAGGGCAAAAAGGGGGACAAGCTACATGCTGGGGTCATTGACGATTCACGAGGCGGTTTTGGCCTTGACGTCGATGTCGTGCTTCCTGCATCCATTCCCTCCCCTGCTTCCTAGGTAGACCCAGTGAAGCTTCTCCAGCTATCAGCTTGCGAGGTCTCTAGCGACGCTGCAACTCTCGCATCGCACGATGCCCGAGGATCCAAGCATGGGGGGACTACCTCGGAGCTAGTGATAGACTCTACAACTCCTAGAGTCCTAACAGAGGGAATGGGAACCTAGACGTTCGGCGTTGGCTCGAAAGAAGCCAGACCCAACCAATTACGTTCAACTGCAAGCACTTAAAACCCCTTGCAGCTTGCAGAGACCACGAGCCAATCGTCTATCAGCACGACACCCTTCTCAACCAACTCAGTCCCCAGCCACTTCCTTCTCCGTAGCATCCAGGAACACGGTCACAATTGCTGCCAGGAAGTCATCTCATCCAATCGTTTGCTTACGAATATTTCCTCATGTCACGATCTAAGCTGGTCCTCCCCTGAACTCTGATATAACCTTGATTTGCGATTTGAGTTCATCGCTAGGGGGGCTGTTTGAACTCTGCTGAGAAGATGCCGCGCTTTTCTTACGTTTTTGTTTATTCTCTTGATTACTCTCCTTCGCGTTGTCGATGAAGCCCCAATATCGCATACATGCCTCATTGCGCTGAGGCTCTACTTTTTGCTCGAACGTTTTGCCAGTGTTTGACTCACTTGAAATTCCTATCATGAGTTTCTACGATGTCGTGATGCCCCAACATCCGATCATGATCTCGATGCAGTCGGTCATTCTGAGCGTCTAAAGACTGATGATTGTTAGTAGGATTCAAGAGATTGCTCACGCATTGAGTGCACAGTTCGTGATTCATGCAAGACCTCTCACGTTCACAGAAGATGAATGATCGCTGACAATGTAGGCCTTTTTGATCTCAGTTCTGCGTCCTGACGCTCGTGTCCGCTAAGATACGCTTCCGTCGCGATAGTATGGCCGATGAGAAGGTCTACTTGTTATTGAAACTCCTGACTGGGCCGAGTTGACGTGGGCCATCAGACCGAATCTATTCAGCGCGGAGTGGTCCAAAATGCAAGATCCTTTCGGCTGTGTCGAGGACATGCATCTCTCCGACGCTTACACTGTCATGCTCGGTGATAATGTATCGCCGTATCGCGAGAACGACGTGGCCGCGAAGAGGTCCCACATCGCGCTGTTGGGATGGCCGCAAAGGTCGATTGTCAGACCGAATCTATTCAGCGCGGAATAGTGTCGAGTCTGGCAAAGAGGACGCCGCGCAACGTCGAGCCCAGGAGGACGAACTTGTAGATATCCCAAGATGCAGATGACAGCTGTTCTGACTTTCGCGAAGGGTCCAGAAAGCACAACAGCTGGCCACGACCCAGGCAAAGCTTTCGCTCGACCAGACATTGGCAACTTCGGCCACGTTCGAGCCTTGCATCAACAGCAAATTGATGAATTCTGTTGCCATAGCGCAGTGGAAAGCAAGACCACGGCAATATCGCTCGGAAGTTTGTCCCTCAGCTCAAGAAGAGAGGCATCTTCGTGAAGGCCTTGGGCAACCAGAGAGAGGAACGATTTTCTGAGGAAAAAGAAGCACAATACGTTATTACCAACTCAGACCTTGCCGCTCGTACAGAAACCAGCATTGGCTTGCGTTAGACGAGGCGAGTTTTGCTTGCGAAGTCGCATTCAATTGTGAGGAGCTTCATTTTGCCGCACCGGGCCATTGCTAGGCCGTACCTGCGTCTACCCCTCCATCGAGGAGCCTTTCGGGGGAGAGGGTACGAGGCAAGACTGCGCGCTTGCGTAGAACGATTTGCCGACCGAGGCGAAACTAGGTGAGAAACGTGTAGCAGGATTCCTCAACGTGATCTTGGCAACAGCAACCCTGAGACGCTGCAGTTCTGCAGCCGCGACCGTTACGATTGTGAAGCAAGCAATCTCGTGTAAATCTACGTCGTGCTTTCTCAAACACGTTGACACATTTCTAGGTCAACTGAATATGGACCGCCGGGCTGCGTGTCTGGAAGTTGGCATCTGGGAGAGGGCGGCCGAAACAGAGTAGACAAGAGAGGCCACCGACTTCAAGCGTCGGGTGTGTGATGTTTGTTGCGGATTGCCATCCAGTTAGGGTACTCTTAAGGGGCTAAAATGTAGCCACCCAGTAGCACATACTTGTTCCGCGATGGCGGCGGTTGCCTTTGGTCATCTACTGAGTTGGCAGAAGAGCCATCAACTCATCATAGAAAGGAACCAAACGTAAGAGAGTTCAGCTACCGAACAGATAGTTCGGAGTTGAGATGGAGACGAGATCGCTACTGGATGTCGATGGTTGAGCCACCAAAAAGAAAGTGTCTCAACCCGTCTATCCTCTTGACCCGGGTCCGTTCGGCAGATGCGCACTACATCTTGCAAGTTCCAAACCGTCTGAAACTCTGGACGACGGACGAGGGGAAGCAGGAGCGGGAACGTCTAAAAGAGGCTCGTAGGTCCGAAGCTCAATCGCTCCATCGGATATCGGACGGAAAGCTGCCCGGTTTTGCTCGCGTTGTCTATCCAACCGATCGATCTGGGGAGTTTGAAAGATGAGAAAGATTCGAGGTTTGCCCAGCGAGGTTTCAGGCGTGCAAAGAGAACCAAAAACCTCCCTGCTCCGCCCCTGGCGAGGCGTAACTGAAGCGAGCTGAGGTCCGGCCCCGAAACAGTGGGGCCCTAACCGGAGCGCGGAGGGAACGGCGCAGGTCGGGGAATAGTGTGGGCATCATCATCGTGACGGTCCACGGCTCGCCAAAGTTTTGTAGGTGAGACGAGGGGCAGATAATTGGTGATACGGCAACGTGATCGAGTTCCAGAGGAGCGCCTTTTTCTCGTTCAGCGCACAGATGACATCCTGTAGTCTGGTGCTGATGCAGGCTTGCAGGAGGATATACGAGTACTAGTTTTCAGTAGCGCAGCGCCGCGTTGACTCACCAGTCTTGCCGCTTACATGCCGGGGCTCCAGGAGTTTCTGATGACCTGCCAAACACAAGTTCCGAGACTTCGACCAGTGCTGGTTGCTAGGTTATCTCTGGGAGGGAGGTATCCGTGGGAATGGTTTGGTGGTGGACTGACGTGATGTGCATAGCATTGTAAGAAAGATTGGCTCGGTGAGAGAGAGAAGGAGGGGAAAATTGTCTTGCTCACAGGGCTGCAGAGACTTTCTGCATTCGAAATTATTTCGTCATGACTGCATCGAGCAACAAGGTTCAGACTCGCCGCTGTGTGGATGGGCATTATTGAATGGTATTTGGCAGCTGTCATATCGGTTTCTACTGCAGTTTGCAGACTTGTTGGCTCGTTTTTTGACAGATGTCGCTCATCCTATCATCGCCTGCCCGCCATACACCTGCAGTAAGACTACAGCGAGACTACAGCCCAGATCGGCATGGCGCTCTGCAAGCTGTGCCTGCTTCCCTGTCCAAAGGAGCGAACGGGAGAGGACTGTTCTGGAGATTCCCTCCTCTCCTTCTCCCTCGCTGGCTAGCCAAGGTTTGTACCTTGCCGTGTAGCCCCCCCGCCTTACGGTGCAGTCGCAAAAGATATGGCTGGCTTTGGTCAAGTACCTTGCATGGGCACTCTGCAGACGATCCTTCCTCGCATCGCATTCTACATTTCGCTTCGATGGACAGCCGAGCCCCGTTGCAACCAGCAACCGGCTAACTTGTCTCGGCAACCGCATCAGCAACTGCCATCAGCAACTCTTGGAACAGAGCAGCAAGAATGCGGAAGCAACTTTAATAAGCTATCCTTACAGGTAACTGAGACGTAGGTGGTGACTGTCACCATTCTCAAGGAATGTAGGAATCGAGGTTCGGAGACCGAGCGAGTGAGAGACGGGAAAGACCAGGGAGTATAGCTTACAGGGCTCAGGTCGGGGGGGCAAGTCAGACCAAGATCAGGCCAGGGCAATTCCCATGTGGTTAGACGGATGCTGATTTGCATGCCTTTGCTCCCATTTCCCTCCTCCCCATCCCCGAGACATGCCCATTTCGAGCAGGAACATCCTTGAACCGGCCCCTTCTTCAGCCTCCCTACTCACACAGAGGACCTGGAGGGGGGTTCATCGCATATCTCTCGTCGGCAAAAGTGCACAGAGAGGTACACCGTACATGAGCTGCTCTCCCATCGCCGAAGCAACACAGCAGTGAACGATAGCCACTAACAGTAGTACATTAGCTGTGTTAGCCGCCGCCCGGATCAAACATGAACCCCAGCAGACCACTACACCACCCACCACTGTGCCCGTGCCTGGCAAGCCCGTTCATGCCATCTGATTGCGCCATTCCCTTTAGACGGGCCCTCGAAGGTCGTTGGTTCGCTGTATTCTCTGGCTTGGCTCCCCAGGACGACGACGCCGGTCGAAGCTTGTGTGCCGCCCTCATCCCGTGTTTGCCTACGTTGAAACCCTAGATAGGCGCTGGCGTCTGTCCAAGGAGAAGAGGATCTCGACAACGACACATCTGGTCACCAAGGAAGACAGAGACTGCAGGCAGGGTAAAGAGCCCCCTTTGCAGTTGGTACCGTGGGCTGTTTCAGTTGGCACAAGTTGCGCTCTGGCTCGGCGATCAGAGCCTACAGAGTATCTTAGTCACAACCTCTGCTATCTGTACTTGCCCATCACCAAACGCTACAGCTGTCAGCATATGTGCCCAAGGACACCCTTCCGGCCTCCTTGTTAAGCCACGTTGGCCTATCTTTTCCTCCATGGCGTTGGCCGAGTTTCCCCTCATCGGTCAGCTTCTAGCCTGGAAGCCAACGCCGTTAGGGGGCGTCGTGGCAATCTGGTCAGACTGGACTCAACACATGTGGCTTTCCCTTTGGTCTTTGTCTTCTGTGGAAGAGAAGCCAGAGAGAAAGAAACAGAATATCTAGGGTAAGGCACGTGTAGTCAGAGATTGTTTCGTTTAGCTAATTGGCCCTATAATCTAATTACGACATAGCAGAGTACTTAGCAGTCTATCCACCGGGAAGCTCCCAGCAACATAGGCAGTCAGTCGGACGAAGCGCCTGTGACTTTCGCATCTGAGTTTTAATGGCAAATTGTAGGCGAGCAGCGAAGTCTCACTAAGTGCGCTGTGCTCTCCTGGACAGTGCTCCCATCCCGCTATCTTGTCAAGCCTCGCCCAATGAGATATACCCACTGCTAGGGATACGTACCGTCCCACGACCTTAACTCGAGGTACTTCCTTGCATTTCCACCCCAGGTTGTTCCTCTCTGTGTATTTCTGCATCCCTACGGAGATGAATTAAGGAATAAAAAATAGCCAACTCCAACGAGAAAGAGAGAGAGACAGAGAGAACAGGCCATCTCTACCTGCCTTGAGGTACCTTGGCTTGCGGCTTGCCATCTGCCATCTGCCAACTGCCAATATCTACGTACCTAGTACCTAGCATTGGGGCACAATTGTGCGCTGTCCTGAGGTTACCTTTCCTCACCTGCTTATGCAGTACCTTGCCATTAATTACTGCATCGGCTGCGGCTGCTGCTGCTCTTAGGCACCTTACCTGACCATTTCGTTTCCCAGGTGTTGGTCTTTTTCACACTCTACCTATCCTCTCCCTCCCACAAAGTGAACGATTGGTTCCTGGACGCTCCTTAGCACTTCTTCACCATCTCTCTTCTTCCCCCTTCTTGTGCTGCCTCTTCTGGATTCTGCCTTCTGCTTGAACCAGGAAGCGCGCTTCGCTGCAGACCATTCTTCGCATCGCCGTGTTACGATTCTGACGACTAGATATTTCATCTGCTTCTGTAATCACGCTCCCACCGCTCTGCTCTACAGAGAGTCCCGATACGCTTTCTGCGCCGCACCTCACGGACCTCCCTTTTCACAAACTTCCCCTCGACTCCCAACCTCCCCCAGGCTCGAGTTCCTCCGACACCTTACGCATACAATCCTCTTGCTCACGCCAGCTCTTCGCCATTCGGTGTAATCAGTTTTCTCCCCATGAAATTGCCGTCTTGGACCTTCTGTAATGATCAATGATATACGCATCTGACGTCGCCCCCGCCTGATATCTACCTACCTACCTACCTACCTACCTCACATTCACCAACCGACCAATCGACAGCACTCATTCTTCGCTTCCCCCGACCCCCAAGCCGCCGATTGCACCCCTGGTCTTCCTTTGGCTGTCCTCTGAACTCCTCGATATCCTCAGACTTGCACAATTCCGTTTGTTAGGGTGGTTCATGTCATGTTCAAGTTAGGGTTGTGTGAACTACAGTAGAATTGCTATGAGTGGGGATCAGCTGGCGTCCAGGCAAGAATTCTACCAAACCCGCCCCGTTCACGTTCGTCTTTCTGTTTCTGCCTCTCGACCAGGTCGCAAAGATTGGCAGGCCGGACAATCTATCAAAACGCCATTTTGCTAACCAGAAACTCTGACAACAGCTTTGGAAACCCAAACGCTCAGCCGCCCACCCCCAAACAGACTCCCACCTCCGCCGTTTTCCCGAGCCCCGTTTTCGAAACTCCCAAGCAGTCCCAGGGTCACTTTGACGACGCTGGCGGTTGGACGCCTCGCTTTGCAGAGGAATACTCCGTCTTCAACACAACTCCAGGTAACCTTCGAGGCTCTCCGGGGTCCTTTCCCGACTTTGCTACAGGTGCTACTACCTTCCCTGCTTCGGCAAGCCTCAAGAGGCCTCTGTCCGCCGAGAGCCTCGCTGCTCAGATAGCAACACATGCCAACCACTTCTCTCCCAACACGAACCTACCTCTACCCCCGGTCACCGCAGCTCGACGACTGCCCTCTTCTCCCAGGCCCCCGATCGAGCAAGCAGACTTTTCCAGCCAGGAAGGCGGTTCGGCCAGCCCAGAGCAGGCGTCACAAGACAACATCGTAAAAAGTTCACAAGGCAGGGAGAGCGTGGCGGATCTGAACGGGCAAACGGCAACCCCTCCCCCATCTTCCCACAAGGGTGGCCGGAAGCTTGCTCCTAAGCTACAGGACGACAACATGCAGAATGACCATGGCTACGGCCAGCCTGACTTTTCTGGAAACCCACAACATCCCAACATGGCGGCCTTTGTGACTGCTACCGATATGTTCGGATATCCCATGTCGGCTCCGGCCAACGCTTCTGCAAGCTTCTGGGATCCGAGTGCCGACATGTCGGGCATGGAAATCGACTTCTCCTTTGGTCCTAATGTCTTTCAAACTTCGGGACATCGCCATATGCCTTCCTTTGATGCCTCGCAAATGTTTCAAGAGCCTGCTACCCTGCCGCCGTCAGGTAGCCAAGAGACTGCCCAACCCATCAAACGGACACGGCCCCTGGCTCCCAAACCTGTCATGAACAATGTCCAGTCCAGCTCGGCAGACATCTCCATGGTTACAAACTCGTTCTCAACCTCCATGGAGGACCCCTTCGGTATTATGAGTCCCGGCGGAGTCGATCCTGGTGTCCTATTCGGTCGACCTCTATCTGCAAACATGGGTGCAAACATCCCCGTCACACAAGGCTCGGCACAGTTTGCCCTTGCAGCGGCTGCAGAATCACAATCGAGAGCGCCTATGCACGGCGATATTCGCCGCTCCCTCAGTACCAAGGAGCTGGGTCAAGGAAGGCCATCCGGTCATGCTTCTATCAATTCCCCGGTCAAAATGAATGGGCGGCTCAATGGACTGCAACGAAGTGCCAGTGAAAATCGTGGAAGACGCGGACTCGCAAAGCCGTCACTGCCTAAGCTCGCTCCAGCCATACAGCCGAGGCCTCAGGTGGCTAATGGTCCCGTAGCTGGCCCAAGTAGGCCACCGAGCCGCCCGTCTGGCAGGATATCGCCCCTGAAACAGCAGCACTCTCGCCTCTCGAGCTTGACGTCGATACCCGAGTCGGCTCCTCCGAGACCTCGCACAGCTGTGAAGTTCACGATTGATTCGAGAGGCAGGGCGCGGGCCGAGACCACCATGGTGATGAATGAGCCGCGACTTGAGGAGGTACGAAGACTACCGGTGACACGGGAAATGCCGCGCAGGGAGAAGAGCTGGGAATCCGAGGATGACGACTCTTCGACAGACGACGAACCAATCATCATTCCCAGCCGAAATACTTCGTTCGCATTACCAGATCCCCGTCGACCGTCGTCGGCTTCCATGTTCCATTCGTCTCGAAGGAGCGTTAGTGAACATAGCTCGAGCAGCTTGGGGGCGTCGGTTTCGCAGCACGAGGCTGAGAGCGAGGCGGAGACCGTGATGAACGAGGCACAGGGAAAGGGGGGGGACGCAGCAAGCGAGCTACGGAAGCTCGTTGAGAGCCGCCAAAAGCGTGGCCATCAGGCACCTGGCAGTCAACGATCACAGCGATTTGCGTCGGGCAGTTTTCAAGATCACCTCGGGGGTATGATGTCACCGACGGGTTTCACGGAGGCCAGCCTACCCTCGCCGACGAAAGCGACGTACAACGTTCGATGCGTCTGCAGGAACAGCACGAATAGACAGGGAGAGTACATGGTCCAATGGTATGATGCCGTCCCCAGCCTGCCTCGTAAAGATGGCCGACTATCACCTATGATGATTCAGCAATGCTAACATTCCACAAGTGAGTCCTGCGAAATGTGGCTCCATGGGTCGTGTATCAACATATCCAAGCGGACACTTCCATCTGTGTACATATGTGCCTTCTGTTCAAACACACCCAACATGCGAGGCGGTCGACTCCGGGGTAATGGCCCGACGCTGGGACCGCCCGGGGCGAGCCCGCTAGCCCGCAAATCATTCAGGTAATACGTGAGTGCATTTTGGAGCACAACGATAATGACCGGCCCCGAAAAGTCGATGACGGCACGTGAGGAAAAGAAAAGGTTTAGAAAGAGAAACGGGGCAATCCGTCATCAGGTCATCTTGGATTATTGATGAGTATATATAATTTCCGAGTACATACCTTGCGGCTTAATTATGAATAACAAACGAGAGGATGCTAAGAAAAGAGAGTGCTGAAGCTATCGTGAGATGACTGGAATTATGCAGAGTGACCAAGGAAGCGAGCTGAAGGCGGATGTACCGATCTTCGGAGTTCTCAGCAAAGGTCTAGCTGGACCTCGCCGGTAGCTCTGACACTAAGGAGACTGGCGATGCTATCGTTGCTGAGCTGACCAAAGTTCTCAAGGCATCAGTGAGGGCGTGAGTAACTCGTATTATGGTTGGTTTACAGTTTCCACAGCACGATCTGAGAGGACCTTTCAACATGCTAATGCAATCTTCCCTGTTGAATTTGCGACAGCTTTAAACAATCTGCATTGGAAAGAAGAGTGCTATGCCGACGTGACTTCTGCCGTGCCGCGACTTTCCTACCTTTTTAAGCTTGCAAGTGCTTAACCTTAACTTCCTCGAAGAGACCCTCAACAGAAGGAAGTATTGATGTGCGTGTATCCGTACGCCTGGAGCATAAGTCAGCCGGCCATCCCGTTAGGGCCCAAACATTTGGAGGTTCATCTCACCTTTTTCCATCCAGGAATTGTGAGGTAGGCTGTACCATTTCCAAAGTCAGCGCGCTCATACACCTTTACACGTCCTTGCAAGATTTTCTACATCAGAGACTGGGAGGGGAGGTAAATATAGAGAAGAAGAGGAAGAAACTCACCACACTCCATATACCCATCCCCATTCCTGCCCCCGCAAGCCCTGGCAGCCCACTCGACGGCATCAACCCACTCCTGCACAACACACGGGTTCCCGCCGTCCCTCCCGTTGCCCACGTCCCCGCTTCCGGCATACGAACACATGTACGCCACCGCCTCGCCCCAGTGGCTATAGATTTTCTCGCGGTAGCCGAGGCGTTTGCCGTTGAGGGCGGCGCACTGCGCTGCAAAGGCGTTGCGGGCGCCGTTTGGGTTGGAGTTGAAGGCAGCGGTGGTGATCCAGGGGCTATCGGAGCAGAGGGGTTTAGTGTCGGATGGCCAGGATGTTGCGTCGCGGCGGGGGAGGTGTGGTGTAAGTGGTGGTGTGGCTTGGGAGAATGGGGAGAGTTTATCTTCTACGGCGTGGATGTCGGGGATACCGGAGACTCGGGTGTGGAGTTCTTCGCCTTCTGGGGTGAGGGTTACGATGTAGGTTCCTTGTTGGGAGCCTGGGGGCACGAGGGTTGAGAGGACTGGTCCGGCTGATGCTATGAGGATGGTTAGGTGGTGGAAGGGCCTGGAAATCATATTTGCTTGCTCTTCGTGTCAAGGTCGGGATCAAGAAGCACGTGGTTGCAAGTACATGATGATGTGAGGGGTCATGGGAACGCTTGGAGGGAGGCTTTACTTATACTTCATGTGTCAGAGGTCCGTTATCGAGTTTTGGTGTTTCGTCACATCCGTTCCGTATCTGGCAGTCGCTAGTTCCAAGATCGCGCCGGACCGATCCCGTTGTTTGAGTTGCGGATGTTCCCTACCATCATGGCGGTCGCCAATCATAGTAAAAGGTAGGATAGTTATACAAAGCCATGATTGAAACGAAGTGCTCACACGTACCATATCTAGTCACGAGGTTAGACTCGAGGAACCCGATCGAAGATGCAGCCCAGCACCGGTGACCATCGGATGAGCGAGTGCCACAGGTAGAACGAAGAAAACGAACGATTTCTCGTTGTACATTAATCAGCTGTCTTACTTCCTTCCTATAACCAAGAATGTAGGTTGTGTCTCTTTGGTCTATTGCTTGCCTTCCCACCGTGTCCCATATGTCGTAATTGCAAAACGCCCCTTCCCCCATCTATCATCATCCCCTTTTCACCATACAGGCGACCGTCGTCGGTGACATGTTTAACATGGAGATCAAGTCCTCGTGCTCGTGATCGTAGACCAGAGCGTTGCACCTGATGTTGAACTTGTTCTGCATCGAGTCGTCCACGATGATGGTCTCCTCATCCTCACCGTCTTTGCCCCTAGATCTCACCGAGATGTGCCACTCTGATGGGTCGCGGTGCCGCGGTAGTAGCTTCACCGCGTGGAAGTTTGTCTGTTGTAGTGAAGATACCTGGACAAGCACCTCGCGGTCCCAGGCTTGACTGTCTGTTACTTCACGGCCCTAGAAAGAAGTTTGTGGTGTTAAATCATGCAATGATGAGATAGAAGCGGTGAAGATGGAAAGGAGCATGAGAGCTTGAGCACAAAACAGACTCCAACTTGGAGTCAGGGGATGAGTAATGGAATATGAATACCGAGCACATGTGGTCTATAGGGGAGGAATTACATTTGATGACGTTGGTGAAGAACCGTCACAGTCTGATTTCGACCTTGAACGAGCTTCACTTTGCAGACGGCGAGTACCTCGCCCTGAAGGGTTCATCCTCCAGTCTTCTGAATGCACGACATCGACCGTCTGGAAGCAAATCTTCATCTTTACGAAGCGAGTCGGCGGACGAACGGGGATATCGCGGAGCTTTTGTGGATTATTTGCTGAAAAAGGATACACACACAGGATGTTGGATCACAACTTCATCAGGGGCTCTCTCCGGGACAGACGGCGGCTTTAAGTCCCCACAACAAACTTCATCCCGCCGGAGGTGGGTAAGTCCCGTTGGGTCGACAGATCCTCGACGCTGCCCGTCTATCGGTACCGGCTTGCGGGGTCCCAAGCGGCGAGGCGTCGTTCTGCAGCCCCGGCGCGCCATCCTTTAGGTCTTACCGTCTTTAGCTAAAGGATTGCCTTTCAATGGCGGTGGACCGTGGACCGTGTGCCGTGGATAGGATACCCCACTTGCCTCGGTCTGAACCGCGGCAAGGAATTTTGGTACGAAACTCGGCCGTACAAGGGGACGTTGCTTGATGAATTCGTCCGTACGGGATCCCGCATTCTCGCTACGCATCGCAGACTGGGTCACCCGGATGGATGGTTGGACCGAAGGACCCGCCGATTTGTAGATCTAGAACGTCAAAACCGCGTTCTGGAGAATGCACCGTTTGAGGAACACTACGTAATGACTTACATTGAGAGAGCTGCTAGATGTGGATCGCTGACATACATTCAACTCAGACTTTGATGCGACTGTGAACACTTGCTTTTCATAATGTTGAACGTCTCTTAAGCTGTCGAAGCTGCGGAAAACATTTCCCGCCGTGACCTGTTAAATGGTAAGAGACACTGCTGTAGGTATGCGTCGACACATCTTCACCCACTTGCAGCCGGTGGGGTGGTGAGACGAACATGACCAATTGGCAAACAATCGCCTCTTGCGAGGGACCTTCTCCAACTCAGGGCCTCGGTAGTGTACCGTCCAATGTTTGTATAAGTAAAGGTTGAGTGAACCCAATCGGCAATGAATTTCCAGTAATCGGTAGGTCAGATCAACATTTCGGATACTTCAATCACGCCAACCATTTATACACCGACGAGATGTCTCAAGCCCTCCCTCTTCAGAACAAAGGCATCTTCCGCAACTTGCCAACTTTCCCATCGGATATCACAGACTTGACTGCCCTCATCACTGGCGCCAATGGCATCAGCGGATTCCACACCCTCAGGGTCCTCCTCGACGCACCGCAGCGATGGAAGAAGGTCTGGATAGTGTCGAGAAGCCCCCTCTCGGAGAAGATGATGAGCTTCTTCTCTGCCGAGCAGCAGGCACGCATCGAACACATCTCGCTCGACTTTCTGGCGGACGCGGACGTCATCGCGCAGGGTCTAAAGGAGCGTCAAATCACGGCGGACTACGTCTTTTTCTACTCCTACCTTCAACCCAAACCTGAGCCTGGCGCCGCGGCTTGGTCCAACGCCGAAGCTCTCGTCAAAGTCAATTGTATGTTGTCACACAAGCGCTTTTCCCCGCTCGAGGAGAAAGACCACTCTGGTTAACACTCTTGGCCAGCCGCCTTGCTCCAAAACTTCCTAGGCGGACTCGAAAAGTCCTCCATCCGCCCCAAACGCATCGTCCTGCAGACCGGCGCCAAGAACTACGGCGGCCACATCGGCCAGGCCATCTCGCCGTTCGTGGAATCAGCGCAGCGCGTCACCAGCGAGCCAAACTTTTACTACCCACAGGAAGACGCTCTCTTTGACCACTGCGTCAGGACGGGCGCAAAATGGAACGTCTTCCGCCCCTCCTGGATCATAGGCGCCGTGGAGAACGCGCAGATGAATGCGTTTTACGGGCTCGGCGTCTACGCCGCCGTGCAGGCTCACCTCGGCAGGCCGCTCGAGTTCCCCGGCACGATGGCGGCTTGGCTCAAGGACCACGCGCACTCGCATGCGCACCTTACCGGGTACCTGTCCGAGTGGGCTGTTTTGAATGAGCATTGCGGGAATGAGGCGTTTAACTCGAGTGATCAGGGGTCGTTTAGCTATGCGTTGTTCTGGCCTGAGCTTGCGAAGTGGTTTGGAATTTCAGAGGTTGGAAGGCCTGAGTTGGATGAGTCGAAGATGCAGACGATTTCAATGCCTGGCAAGCCGCCTATCGGGTACGTGTCTCTCTGATTCGTTGTGAGGATGACGACCTTGGCTGACGTTTTTCTGTGTCTAGTTTCGGCCCCGGTGCAAGCTTGAGGTTCTCCTGGTCCTTCGTCGCCTGGGCCAAGGAGTCCGAGAACCACGAAGCCTGGAAGGAGATTATGAAGAAGCACAACCTGCTCAATGACCCGTTCGAGGACCCCGAGGGCCAGTTCATGTTCACGGACGTCGCTGTGGTGCCAGATGCCTACGGCCGCCTTAGCCCGAACAAGGCCCGCGTGATGGGTTGGAACGGATTCGTTGACACGGCGGAGGGCATCTTTGCGACGTATCGCGAGTTTGGCAGGCTCGGTATGCTGCCGCCGATGGCTGTGGAAGAAGCTCGACCGTTGATCTAAGAGAGGGTGGGGGGGAGCTGTCGATTGTGACGCAGCTCGAGGGGTACATTAGTGTGTGAAGCAGAAAAAGGATGGAGTGAGTTGATGAGCACGGAAAAGTTTCAATTGGTACTATTCAGTGTGGGAATGGTATTCATGAATGCTTGCTTTTTGTTAACTTCGCGATGGGGAAACGGTCACAGAATGTTTGAATCTTATAAGACACCCCCAACGGTCTTCGAACATATTGGAGAAATCTCAACTCACTTTGATTAAACATGGTTATTTTCTATTAAACTCAATTATGTTATGAATGTGACCGGAGGGGCAATGAGAGATAATACAGGCCATGACAGAATGCAACCTAGGGCCTGCAAGACATGAACCCATGTCTAGACAGGGTTGGTTGGGACGGCGCCCGCGAGAATTTGCAGATTGAAGAGAACTCCGAAAGAGATGGAAGCAACTCCTGTGGAGCTCGCCGGCGTCGAAGGGGGGCCAGATGAAGTAGGGGATGGAGCTATGGACGGAGTCGTGGACGGAGTGGTGGACGGACCAGGGAAGGCTAGACCGATGGACGGATCGTAGACTCCCCTTGTATCGGAAGTTAACGTAGGCGAGACTACAACGGAAGAGGATGATGACGACGGAGTGAAAGTGGTGAGAGAGCTGGTCAAAGAGCTGGAAGTTGATATTTGGACAGCTGAGGAGTTGCTTGGTAGGATAGAAGCCGAGATTGTGGGCACACTGGTTGAGGAGAGAGAGAGCAATGCGGCGCTGCTGCTGCTGATGCCGCCGAGAGTGCTGCTGATGCTGAGAAGGCTCGTGGCCAGGCTACTCAGAGATGTGCTGCTCGAAGATGAAGTTGCCGAGCTGCTGGTCAAGGAACTTCCCGGAAAGCTGGCCGAAGAGGTTCCAGAGCTGACCGTTGAAGAGCTTCCTAGACTGCTGGTGAACGAGCTAGTGCTACTAGCAGATGCCGTGCTGCTGGTGTCTGCGGTAAACGAGCTGGAGCTGGATGTGGTGGGCGTAGCGATGGTGCTTCCACCAGAGTTTGAACTGCTTGAACTTGAGGAAGTAAGACTGTCTGTGCTAGATGAAGCCGTGTCAGTGCTAGAGGATGAAGAGCTTGTTGTTGTCGGTGCGTCGGTAGATGAAGACGAGGTAGAAGAGGATGTTGTTAGGATTAAGGGAGTAGAAGAATCAGTTGAAGTAGAAGAGTCGGTAGAAGTGGGGGAGGTAGAAGAGGGCGTCGTAAGAGTAGGCATGGTTAAAGATGATGAAGAAGACGAAGTTGAAGTGTGACCCGAATGCTCGGTATCACACAGCAAGACAGAACCGTTGAGTAATGTATGTCGAGGTACAAGCTAGCTACTTTCAACGGGCCGTTTTCAAAACCAGTAGCAAGAAGTGGAGTGATGATTTCTCAAGCTTTTGATCAATTACAGCTCATTTGAAAAGATCAGAACACTTAATATTATCGGATGAGATGATGGAGATCAACTTGAGCAATGGAGGGAGCCGTCACGTTTGAGGATCTGTGAGAGTTCTACGGGCCGGGGCGACATGTGGTTTTGTCCCTCTTCGGCCCGGTGATTACATGGACTACAGACATAGGCTTCGGTATCAGAAGCGTTTTCTCTAATGAAATCATTTTGTTGCATTCCTCAGCTGATGGGTGGCGAGACAGCCGTCGGGAAGCCGACATTTGGTTTTACGTGCCAGCGAAGCCCTAGGCCAATGGTCGACGTCATGATACAGAATACTAACGCGCACCAGAGAGATCCAACTATGGTTCTTCAGAGTTGCTGGGGGATAGGTCTATAAAGGAGACTGCTCGCTTGCTAGATACCTACTCAAGCTTAAAGGATCAAGGCCCATTCCAAGTACGAGTCTTAAAACCCGACATAAACCAAAGTGGATGTAGCAAATACAGGCAGCAAAACGAGAACTGACCGCCGCAAACGAATAGCCATATTGAGACGGCACACAAGTAATGAAGCTTTTGTTCGGACTAGCATTCCAATCCTAGCCTTCCATCATCCCGCGGGGCCGGATCCCGGGGGCCGGAGGCGAACGGTCGAGAGACCCGCTTTTCCCGGTGTGAGGGGCGGAGGCGGCATTTCCCCGACCGGTGACTAGTCCGAGGGAGCACTGCGAACTGAACTTGTAACGAGTGAGTAGGAACATGTCGCCGTGAATCTAGGTCTAGAACAAAGCCTTGCATTCGAATGCTTTAGCTCATGATTTTCCGGTTCTCATGGCCTCGTAATCAAGTTGCGCCACGGACTTCAACTCAGAAATTTCGTCTGCAGAGTGATTATTCAGCGATGAGCCAATTTCTAAGGTCGAGCTTGAGCGAAAAGGAGACTGCTTGAAATTATCCACCGGAAATACCCACTTCACTGTTATCCGGTGTTCCACGGATTACAAGGGGCAAATGTGACGTTTCTGCGTCTCAAGTGAGAGGAAGTACTATTTGATGATCTGAGATGAACCGTCCAAATTGTCTCGAGTTTCGTAAATTAACCACAATATTCTACATTATCAGTCTATCATTCGTGTAACAAAAATGAGTTCATCGACGCAACACAAAGTTGGAATTTTCCCCGCCTCTGGGGGTATTGGCGGAGGCACTGCAAAGCACATTCTCCAGCGCCTTTCTCCATCAAACCTGATCCTCATCGCTAGAAACCCCAACAACCTTTCGCATGCACGAGAGCTGGGAGCAGACGTTCGACAAGCTGATTACGATGACGACGAATCGATTCGGAACAGTTTTCGCGGAATCAAGACCTTGTTTTTGATCTCGTATGCATCAGTTGAGGTTGAACACAGGTTTGAGGTAGGGCTTTACTATCTGAATGACCTTAACATGTATGAGAGCTAAGAAGATCACGCAAAGCGACACAAATTTGCCATCGACACTGCCATTGCAACTGGTGTGAAGCACATCTTTTATGGGTCGTTAGGCTTTGCTGGATCTGCAAAGAACCAGGAGTCAGTAGCTCACGTTATGAAGGCACACCTCATTACTGAGGGATACCTTCGAGCATGCCGTAAAGAGCATCCCGGATTCGACTTCACGATCGTCCGCGAGGGGCTCTACACTGAGTCTTACCCACTCTATACCTCGTTCTTTGACCCTGCTCGACCTATCAACGAGATCAAGATTCCTCATGACGGCGCCGGCCCCGGTATCGCATGGGTCAAGAGAGAAGAGCTGGGGGAAGCAACAGCTGAGCTCATATCTCGCTACTTTACAGACCCTGACGGTTTCCCCTACCGCCAACAGACTATTCTCTTTTCGGGAACAAAGACATTGACCCTGTCGGAAACAGTCAGTATCCTCAGCGAGATCGCAAAGGTTCCAGTCCAAATCAAGCAGGTTTCGGATGATGAGTTCGCCTCCCAGGCTCAGGTAATTCCTAACTTTACCTACCGTGGAGTTGACTACTCGAAGCCGTGGGCTTCAGCCTTTGAGGCGTTTCGTAGGGGTGAAGCGGCTGCTGCGTCACCGTTGCTGAGTGAGCTTTTGGGAAGAGAGCCGGAGGGTTTCAAAACCACCGTGATGAACTCTCTCAAAGCCTAGATTAGGAGTTGAGTAGCCTAACAAACAAGCTGGTTTCTTTCGTATGCATTCATGCGCCTGGTCACATCATCGTTATTTTAGTCAAGGTGAAGGTTGAGGGTGATTAGCGATCGAATTCGCGCTTAGAGATGAAGCAACCTATAGCTCAATTGTGATGCTACTACACTTTCCTAGCGTATGACGCATCAAAGAGATTGCAACGACTATCGATCACATTTGAATCTGTCATAGATACGCCGTCCCCGACAACACCACCCAAGTTTCCCAGGTCCATCGCCCCAGGCTTGCCAGAAAATTGTGTCCACGCAGGCACTCCAGGTCCATTGGCGGGGTTCTTGGCAAAGTTGGCCCATGCCGTCTGCATGAACTTGCTCAAGGCAAGAGCTTGGTCAGGTGTTGCCGGCGGCGGCGGGAGATTGCCAAAGACGAAGCTGATCTCAGAGCCGTGTACCGGGCGAGACAAGATACCTCCGGGTGTTGGCGGGAACGAGGTGGAGTTGAAGAGATATCTCCAAGTTGGCACCCCGGCTTGGGCCGAAAGACGAGCTTCATGCGCAATGCTGCAGCTCCAATCCAAGTCCGTAGCGAATTGTGTAATTGCATCTTTTGGAGTTGAGAAAGGCATCCCGGCTCCGACTGGATATCCGGCAGTCACAGCCTTTTGCAACGCATCGTCGCCAGGAAATGTTGCTGCGACAAAGGCATCCAAAGCGGTCGGTGGCTGACCCATCGTGAAGATTTCGGCTTCTCTGAGGTTCGTTCCTATCATCATAGGTATCTTGGAAACCTTGCCGGAAGCCCGTGTAGCATCAGGTGAGGTAGGTACGTTTGCATCTCCGTCGGCTACAGGTGGGAAGTTGAAAGGACCTTTAGAGAGTACGGACACAAGGGCGTCGACCGGAGCGGCTCTAACGCAATCAAGCGGCTTCTGGCTGCCGCAATTGAGCGAAGCTGCAAGAGTTTGAAATGGTGTCGTCATGTTCGGTCTGCCCAAGAGGCCGGTCATGAGTCCGACGATATCTCCGCCTGCTTGGGGTCCAGTTACGAGATATGCGGTTCCAGACTCGGTGATCACCGCACGGAACGGGGGCTGGGCACCGCTTGTGAGTAGTAAGAGGTCGACTGATGAGCCACCAGCTGACTCCCCGAATAAAGTCACCTTATTTGGGTCACCACCGAAGGCTTTGATATTACGCTGAACCCATTGAAGCGCTAGTTTCTGGTCCATAAGACCGACGTTGCGCATTTGTGGAGGTATGCCCTCGACATCGCCTGGGAACCCGAAGACTGCAGTCAAAAAATCAGCAACGCCCACCTCCAAAGGCATAAGAGTGCTCTCTCATCAACAATAGTTACTTACCACTCGTCCGGTAATTTGGCGTCACGACGATCACGTCTTGATTCTGTGCAAAGCTCGAGCCATCGAACATCGGTGTGTTGGCAGAACCAAATTGAAAGCCCCCGCCATAGTACCATACCATGACAGTTCTTCCTTCGGCGGGTGGAGGAGAAGAAGGTGCGTAGACATTGACGAACAAGCAGTCTTCGCTTTCAGGACCGGACGGCATCATGGCAGCAATCGCCGCTTTTGAAAGTCAATGCCATGATCAACCGGAGTAAAGCCCCAGACGAGCTCCGATGTGTGTTAGGGGACGTTCACTCACCAGGTATAGCCTGAATACAGGATGGAGCGAAGGCTGTCGCGTTGATTACGTCGTTATGAGGCGCCATCGAAGCAGGCACCGGTGGTGCAAAGCGTTGTGGTGGTGCCGCATACCGAATGCCCAAGAATTTGTTGACGCCATTCGCTGTCAAACCAGAGTATGGTCCATCGTCCAGCTTGACTTGTACTGGTTGTTGCGCATTCACAAGTGTAAGTAAAGTAAGCAAAGTAATGCCGATAGTCGTCGATCGAGGAGACCAGCCCCTTCGTGAGAACTCCATGGTTGGCTTATTAGTACGTTACACGGCCGGAATTACGAGATTAAAAGAGAGTTTATCGTTGTCAATGTTCGTTTCAATCTCGCAGTCTATCGACATTTCACGAGATCTGGGCTTAGTTCCTTTATGTCTTCGACCCTCAACAGGGTTTAACTTGCTTTTCTCGGGTTTTCCGTAGCCTTTCCATGTTCCAACTATGTACTATACGCAACTTGGCACTATCGTAAAGTAGCAGATCATTTTCCTTGAGACCCAGGCGTTTGGAGAGAAAATAAGCTCGGTGGAGAAGCCGCAAGGAAGACCCGAAAGCTTGGATTCGGCCCATTATTTAATTGGAGAGAATCGATGGACGAAACCTCAAGTGGCACGGTGAGCGGGTGTACCGGTGGGATGAACAAACTTGTTGATATTCACAGGAAGTCTATTCGTCGCGTCCACCCCGCACGTATCGTTTCACACCTTTGCCAGGTGGACGGCCGTCAAAATGGGTAATGGCGAACGACAGCTATAATGCGTTGTGCTACATTTCACTAGCAATGCCCAGAGGCTGAAATGATGGCTAAACGGAAGACCCGGCTCTTACAAGACTCATGGTAAGCATTGGGTAATGAAACATATTCAGCCGCAAGAAACGAGGAATGATTTTGAGGAGTGGAAACGGGAAGGAGAGCTCCGAGAGCCCCATGGGTAAACCGAGGTGTTTGCGTCTATTGAATGAATGGGGACTTCCCTCGCGCAAACATCAAATGCGGGCGTGACTAGATTTCGGGATTGTGTGAATAGTCTTGATTTCACAGAGAGAAGCTCCATCAGTTTGTCATTCCTCTCTATTTCGCTTGTCCGGCGCCCAGAACACCACTTACTGTCGCACGAACCGGCGCCGAAACAGTCCCACTTGTATTGCCGGACGCGGCTTTGGCTGACCCGCTTTTTCGGCCGGCCGACCGCGGGCTTGTCTAAGGGCTATGCGCTTGTCCTCAGGTGCTATGAGTGATGAAGCAGCTGGTGCAATGAGGACCAGTGAAACGACAAAGTGATTCTGTTAAACCATGGTATCTCTGATGCGTACAAACGATCTCGAGAGCTTGCCTTCACTCAATGCCGCGATATATCATGGTGCAACTTTCATTCCTTCGTCTACATCCTGATTAGAGATTTATCAGAGAAGTTCAATAGCGCGAAATGATCTTTCGGTATTTAAAGATTGGCACAGGATTCCAACATCACTGAGCGAGGGCCGGTGGTACGTACCTCGACCAACCTTCTCAGTCAAAGGTCCAGCCACGAACTTCAATGTGTGATGGGTATTAAGAGAATAGTGAAAAACAAGGCTTTGCTTATGTCCAAATTATGACAAGTCGAATAGTTCACGGATTGAACCAATCCTCCATGACCTCGCTCCGACCCAATCCTTGGGCCACGCCGCCGCCATGCAGCCGCCCTGCAGCAGCCGCCGACGGCGAGGGGGTCAGCTCAAGGGTGTGGCTTACGCAAGTTTAAGACCATCCTTGATATGGACATTTCAAGATCAGGCTGAGCTCTACGAAATCCTACTTCCACATTTGATAGGTTCTCGTACGAGGATGTCGCAGCCGAGTTTTCAGCTGTTATTTGCCAAGGTCCATATCTTACGATAGTGTCATATATTTGACATCCGATTGGTACTTCGCAGTATCAGGCAGTCATTTTCAACACTATTAGCCTGCAGACCCTCGCTTCCTACGTTCATGATATAGACGTCAAAATTCCTCTTTGCGCCCGTGAAGGCCTCCACAAACTGTTTCTGTTGGCCCTGCAACATTGACCTTAGCCTTCTTTTCCAAGGAAACCTTTTTCGCTTGCAACACCATGTCACGTATGAAAAAGCAGGATCTGGAGCAAGGGCTTTACGTCGAGAAGGCCAGTATCGTGGAAGCTAGGATCGAGTATGTCAGCACCAAGGATGCCCCAGAACGGAAACCGGAGTTAGAGTAAGTACAGTTGCGCTTTTGCTGTTTAAGTCTATGGAATTAAACAGTCTTCTAGTATCGTTGTTGTCCCGGGTTTTGGTGCAAACCCTCTCAAATGTTGGGCCTGGGATTCGGAGAAGGGAGACGGTAGCTATGACGTTCGAAGTCAACAGAAAGACGAGAAGTTCAACTGGATCACAAGTCCGGATGGATTATCGGAAAAGTTCCCGGGCGCGCGAATTTTACGCTACGGTTTTGCCTCAGCGTGGCAAGGTACCTGCCAGATCGAGAATTACTTTGACAGCATCGTCCAAGGGCTGCTCATTTTGCTCCGAAAGCACAGGAAAGTTAGTAAAATATACTTTAAATCAGCGCGTAATGAGTAGTCACTTATTATTACATAAACAGGAATACAATGAGAAGGGTCGACCCATCGTTTTCATCGGTCACAGCATGGGAGGACTTGTCATTGCCAAAGTGAGTGTAGCGGTTATATGTCAGACTTCCCAGCCAAATCATGCATTCTGACAGAGCTCTGCAGGCATTGACGGAGATGGACAGACTTCGTGATGACTTCGGAGAACTTCTGCCTTGCGTCACAGGCTGCGCTTTATTTGGAACACCCTTTTTTGGCACTGGAATGGCTTCATTCTTCTCTCGCGTGGTCGAGATGATGAGAGAGCAGGGCCTCAAAGTGAGTGGAGCATTCTGGGGGATGATGAAACCCGACAGCGATTTTCTTCAGACATTGCGCCGTGAAATCACACACTTGGTCAAGCGAACCAGTCCTCCTATCGACATGAGGTGTATCTACGAGTTGCTCCCGGTCGAAAAGACAGATTACTTTCCTGAACGAGGATCCAAAAGCAACGAGCCCAAGTCAGTTCACGAATCGGATCCATCCTATCTATCTTTCGTAAAGGGGCTCGATGAGACGAAGTTGTGGGAATTGAAGGAATGGTATGAATCATGTCTTAAGGTACGATATGAACGAAGAAAATTTCCAATGGGATTCCAAATTAACCACTTATCAGAACGATAACTACTGTTTCGTCACCAAAGCGTCTGCAACCATGGATTATATGCCAGGTGTGGGACTGCAGTGCAATCATCGTGGTCTGGTGACATTCGAACATAAAGACACTCAGAAGTACGGTCTTGTGCTGGAAGAGCTGGACAGGCTCGTTAGTACAGCAGTAAATGCCTGCAGGAAAAGACTGCAAGCCTCAAGCCAACATAGCATGTCGCCTCAGGCTGTGGATGCCCTGAGAAATATGCTCAATTCTGGCCTTAAGCATGATCATGATTCTATCGTGAAAAATCAGAAGGGGGAGAAATCCTGGGTTTTACAAGACAAACGTTATATTGAATGGGAGTCTCTTGAATCAACCAGCTCATTCTTCTGGATTCAGGGGCGACCTGGAGTGGGAAAGACATCGGCCACTTTGTCCGCCATCGCGAGTATACGCCATAAGATCGAGAAGAGCCTCAATCCAGGGAACGCTGGCCTCACACCGCTCTTGGCTTATTTTCTATGCGACTCGTCCAGGAACGGTTCATCTGCGATTGAGCTACTCAAGTCGCTCGTGCTTCAACTCATCAGCCAAAATCCGCTTCTGGCTGATCACGGCAAGCATCTTCTGAGAAAGAGCCAATACCATAGGAGTATCTACCCCGCCGATGAGCTTTCGGGCGACGATACTATGGCCACCATGAGTCTGCCCAATCTTTGGCGTTGTTTCACAGATATCATCGCCGACGATTCTATTGGCGACATTTACGTCGTCATCAACAACATCCATTTGTTGAAACATGACGAGGATTCTGACTCGCTTATTGAATCCATCTACCATAGCATTATCGCACCAAGCAACGACCAGGATCGAACCGGGGGTCGGAGCAATCGCCGATGGCTAATTACGCGCACAGAAGGTGCGGATGGTCGTCGTTTCGAAAAGCTGATTGATACTGGGATCTCGTATGTTGCTGATCTATCCACCAGTGAATTCGCCGAGAAGGTCAAAAACTCTTTGAAGTACTACGTACAGAGAAAGGTTGTCAACCTACATCAGACCAAATACTACGAACCTGACCAAAGGTACATGATAGAGGACATGATGATCGACCATGCCGACAATACACACTGGATTGATATTCAGTGTATTCGACTGGAGGAGTTGGAGCAGCAGAGCAGTACGGAGACCATAACGAAGACCTTGGGACTCACAAATGCTTCGAGCTTGGAGAAACTAGTGCGCCATTGCTGGTTGACGGTGAGCACCCTATGATCTTAATTCAAGGTTCAGCATCAATTGACCCGCGTAAATAGGTCCTCGAGCGGAACCCACAACTCACACTTTCCCTCGCGGAGATTCTCAGGGCACTGGTCTTGGCTTTCCGAAGTCCATCTGTCGAAGAGCTTTGTATTCTGTCTGGTATCAAAGACGAGAGTAAGGTGATTCTTCTGATTGACCAGTGCGCGCCAATGATACGTCTAGATCGCCAGGAGAAAGGCATTACGTTTGTCAAGTTTGAGAATGCCACCCTCAAGAATCAGCTTCTCTTGAAATCAGATGAGCTTCTAGGCTTGTCAGGAGTTTCTGTTAACGAGAAGTCAAGAGCGGAAACAAAACGTTACCATGGTGTCCTTGCTTGGAGGTGCTTTTCTTACATGCAAAAGGCTCTCAGCCCCGCAGTAGCTGGGGTGAACCGATCGATGTTCGTCGGATCATCATATCCTTTGGACTTTTGGATGGACCATGCCATACGGGGCAAGTCGGAACTTTCGGAAGATCTCGCTCGCCACTTACATGTCTTCTGGGAGAGAGTGTCACCTCTAAGGAATGCCTGGCTAGCATTGTCTTTACCAACTGCGCAATCCTTTGAGCACGGCATTTCCACTGAAGGTATGACGGCGCTGCATGCAGCTGCAGCATACGGATTTGACAGGCTCGTATCGAGCTTGATCACGAATGGACACCAGCATGAAGTGGATTGCGCCAATCTAGATGGATACACTCCGGTAAGTGATACGCAACTTTTCTAGTGTCTTGACCACAGCAAAGCATTTACTAACTATCGCGTAAGCTCCATATTGCCGCTGTCTTCAATCATACTGAGACGATCAAAGTACTCCTCAATGATAGCGGGGAAGACGCCGTTAACAAGCATATGAAACTTCTTGGGACTCCTCTTCATTTGTCTGCGATCCAAGGTCATCTTGCGACTTTGAAGCTTCTTTTGAGCAGAGGAGCAAATCCAAATGCTTTGAGCGAGACTTATGGCCCAGTCATCAATGCTGCTATTAAATCCGGGCGCAGCGAAGCAGTGCAAGAGCTACTTGGGCATAAAAACATCGACCTGGATGCATCCAATCCCGATGGCTCACCGCCTCTTGCACTCGCGGCGGGCTTGTCTCCAGAGGATGTGTTCAAACAGATACTACTTGGAGGCAAGGCGAAATGGACAGCGCAACATCACAGACAAGCCTTGGTACAAGCATGCCGTAACAACAAGCCGGGAAATATCAGAGCTCTTCTTGAACACCCAAGAACCTCTTTCAATGACGATACTCTAGCATCTGCAGTGCTCACTGCTGCCATTGAGAACAATTGGGATTGCGTTTTAGCGATTTCCCGACCAGACTTAGGCGGCAGCAATGTTTTCTATCTGGCAGCAGTGACCCTACGCGATGGGCCGGCATCCACTACCGTGCTCAAGGAGACATGGAGGGCTTCGCACGCAAGTATTGCGAAAGAAGTGCTCAATGAAGCGCTTTATCAGGCTACAGACAACCAGAAGGTCGATACTGTAGCATGGCTTCTCGACCATTGCAAAGCTGATGCTAATGCCACGGACTATCGTCCTAGCATTTTGGATTCCGTTCGCTCCACAGCCATTCCGACCTTTGGAAATACCTTGGCCGCCGCGGCCTGGGACGGCACCATCGAGATTGTGAGGACTTTAATTAAGCACGGTGCTCATATTGACAGTCCAACTGGATGCCCATTGCAGCTAGCGGCCAAAGAAGGCCATGCTGAGGTAGTCAGGCATCTCCTTAGCCACGGGGCCCAGGTCGACAGAATTCCTGGAGAGGAGGACAGTTATAGGGGATCCGACTTCCAGGAAGGCACTGCCTTACAAGCGGCCTGCGAGGCAGGGAAAACTGAAGTCGTGAGGGTTCTCCTACAGTGGAAGGCAAACCCCAACCTTGGGCGAGGACCATATAATAGTCCTATTCTTGCCACAACAGCAAGGAATCGATCTGAAATTCTGAAGCTTCTAATCGATGCTCCGGGGATTGATGTCAACGTAAAGGGACCCAAGAATTCGACAACACCACTGATGAATGCAGCTTTTCTCATGACCTACGAAGACACAGAGCTTTTACTCAACGCCGGCGCCGACGTCAATCAGTGGGGTCATCACGATGAGACTGCTCTCATACGTGCAGCACGGAAAGGAGACGCCAAAATCCTGCGTCTCATCATATCTCGCGGAGCTAATATCCTGCATGCCGGAAAGGATGAACAAACGGCTCTTGATATAGCTGCGAGTAAAGCAAACGTCGAATGCTTGCAAGTACTCGCAGAGAGCGTGTCTCCGCTATTCCGCGGGCTCAAGAGGGCGATTGCGAACGGGAGCACATTCGCGCGAGATCTTGTAGCTCGGCCGGAGGATGATCATGATATCGTTGACATGACCACTGTCAATCAACTACGAGAGAAAATCGTAGGCCTAGAGAGAGACTTGGAAGAACTCAATCGCATGCGAAAGGGGTGGAATGGCATGATGTCACAGGTACAAGAAGCGGAGAAGAGCACGGTGAGCTACAAGAATCAAATGGATCAGATGAGAAGTGAGAGAGTCGAAGAAAGCGCCCGCATTGAGAAAGAAAGAGGCGAATACGAGGCTGCGAGATACGGCTTCGCCAAACTTCAGGAAGAGAAGGATGCTCTCAAGCAGAATGTTGCAGCTGCCAAGCTAAGTCTAGAGGCGCAGGAAAGAGACTTCAGCATGAGTTTGCAGCAGAAGCAGAAAGAGATGGAGGGAATCTATTCTCTGTGGACAGACACTGAAGCGCGGCGAAAGAGTGCCGCAGATGAAGCCATGGAGGTTCGACGACAACTTCGAGCCACCGAAGACGAAGCCAATAGGATACAGCAAGCCATGTCGGACCAGATCGAATCTTTGCAGAAGGAGCTAGAATTTTCCAAACAGCAGGCAGATGGAAAAGCAACTCCATTAGGTGGCAGGGATGACGAAAGCTTCACAGAAGGAGACGACGCCTTGATGAGCCAGAATGCCGGTAGCTCGCTGAGTGTCAGCAGCGCTCAAGATGCCACGGGCGACACTGGCACAGGAAAAAGTGCAGCCAAGAGATTTAAAGATATGAGACACAACTCCACGCAGTTTATGGCTGAATTTGTCTCGAAGAAGAGAGGGAGCCCCAAGCCGGATGGCCAGAAGTAGAGCTTGAATTTGGACAAGGAATGGAGGGAGGTCTGCTCATTATCAATTCATGTTATCCTCGTCTTCTAGTTGTCTAGTTCCTTATTATTTCGTGGAATTTGAGATACTTTAATTTGACAAGACCCTGAAAGAGTGCATCCCATGAAATTCTTCTCTGGAGTAAGGTTTGCCTGAGATGCATGTTGGAATTCAGCTTCTCTCCGTTGAATAAGACAGGATGATACGAGTTCCCTGAGTTTACTCTCCATCACTCTGCCTAGAAGGATCGATCTGTTTCAACCTCTCCTTTCCTTCGCGCTTCGTTATTATCCAGTTCCAGACATATAAGTAGACAAATGTGACTATGAGCAGGCTAGCAGCAACTAGGGGGCCAAGAATAGAAAATATGGTGAAGTTGTAAGAGACCGACTTGAACGTCGTGTTGTCCTGAAGATCCGTCGCAAAGCCGACCTGCATAGCCGTAAGAACGATAGCGATGTAGACGGTAGAGCTAGCCAGTATCGTGAAGTTATCGCCGAGGAAGGTGCCATACTGATTCCACCGGGGCATATACCCGTGCAGAGGGGTCTTCGAGAAGAAGTAGATCTTGTTGAGCCGACTGAGACGAAGCTCTCCGTAATAGAAGCGCTTATCGATGCATCGATAGACGTTCCCTTTATCCAAGAGCTCTTGGACTAGCAGCTTCCATGACTTCCACTGCACCTCATGCGGAAGGAGGTTGTTCGCCTTGGCGATACTGAAGTCGCTCTCGTGTACCACGAGAGCCACATACGAGAAGAGAAATCCGAGAGCGCGTCGGCGGATGGGATCGCAAGTGCAGGGAGGGCTAGGTATACAAGTTACATGCTCTATTGAGTGAGGAAGGTATTCTTCCCAAAACCGTGGCTCGAGCAAATAGCGTGGCAGCGGTTTCATGAAGATTCGGCCTCTACCCCATACAAGATGTAGATCCATCTGCTCAGTTACCATGATCTCGCGAGCAAGAATAAGTTGAGAATGGAGAGGACGTGGTGGCATAGGGCGTCCCGCGAACCACAAGGAATCAAAGACATTTGTGAGTCGGTCGAGGTTCAGTTCCAGACTCAGCCACCTCAACACGTCTCGAGCAGGATCACTCAAATCCCCCACCGAGTCTCGCTCTGATGCTGGTAGCAATCCACATAGAGTCTCTCTCGGGTTCTGCAGAGAGGAACTGTCATCTTTCAACACTGTCTCCAAGACCCGCTGCGAGAATGGAGCCGACTGTGAATATTTCGTCAATAAAGGAGCGCTGTAAGGTAGATGACTCTACCGGTATCTCACCTGTCCTGTCAATAGTGGCATTTCTAACGGAACTGCTTAGCGCTCAGTGCTCAGTGACTCAACTTGAATCAGTGTTCGAGGAATGATTGCAAATTATGCTTCTCCGCCGGGTGGGACTGAACTTCAGCCGGCGAGCAGGCTGGGTTCGAATGTGATGTGCTGACAGAGCTGGGGTTTGATTCAGCCAATAATTGGCTCAGCTGTGGCTAAACGCGGCACGATGAAGGGCTTGCCAAGGTAGCCTGCAGAGAGCTGGCGACACTTCTGCAGCCTTTTGCCAGCGACTCGCCTCAGATACGAGAGAGGCGTTCAGGCGGGAGTTGGCGTAGCTGTGCAAACGACCTTGCATGTATTGCCTGGGGTCCCCGAGATATCATTGACTTTGATCGGGGAAAAGTAGCATTTGCGAACAAGCGACAGCCTGCACACCTTGTCCTTTTCTCAATTGTCCAGACAGCAGGCACTAGCTGTTGGTTCAGTTTCAGCGAGAGTCGAGTCCTCTGTGCAGCACCAAGTAGGTACTTGAAATTCCCCCAGTGCTTGCTTACTTCTGGCTTGACGCGGTTAGCTTCACCGTACGGGCGCCTGTTTCCGTCACCCTTGCGTGAACAGCTTACTCGCGATTAGCACACACGCAAGATTCTTGCGCTATTCCTCTGATATTCCACAAGTTTGGTAGTCGGACTATTCACAGACTCAAAGTATGGCGTAGATAGATACTGTGGTGCTATGGTAGTCTCATTTACACTGATGTCGTGACTGAAGGCCGCACCTGGAGAAGACTGCGAAGCTGCCCCTCCCCCCACCGCCGTCAATATTTCATTCAGAAGGAACTTGGCTCATTTCCATTATTCCTCTCAGTGCCTAACAAGGTAAAATGCCGCTGTTATGTATGCCACGTGCATAGCTTCCAATCGTGAGCAGTGTCGAGATGATGTCTTTTTAAGTGCAATTGTCGGGCTGTTCCAGTCCTTGACCCCGCCCTCACTTCCGGTGGGCTGCACTGCCCCTTCCGGCCAGTCGGCCCCTCCAGCCCGGCCACCAACCCCGCCTTTTTGCGACCTCAGGATGCTGTAGGAAAATCAATTCGTCAACGAGGCTAGTGGAAAGAGCTTCACTCCAGCTTCATTCTCCAAGGCCGGCGCGTCGCTTGAGGAAAGTAATCAATATACTACTTATTTCAATTTCTAGGCTCTGCGGTAATCGATATGGGCGATTCAAGGTCTTCCTGGCGGGGCTTTTATTTACCCACAATTTAAAGGTAGGTAAGTAAGTAGGAAATTGCAACAACATCCAGCTTCCCGGGCTTGCTTCTATAAACGGCTCCGACGACTTACACTACCGCATACAACGATACCTTACCATAGGGGCTCATCGGAAAACCTGCGTTCTCGTCCGCTCTCCCATAGGTAAGCCAACGAGCGCACCCATCACGGCCCGGCAGCTGATGACCACCGATAATTATGGGTCACGTTTCTTGACGGACGGAACGGCCCCCGTAAGCGGCCGAACCCCACTTCGCCGTCCGACCATACCGGTGTTACTGTCGGCGCGGTGGGTGCTCAGTTTATTTGCAGAGACTCGTATAAGTCCAAAGACTCGCATCAAGCATCCCGGCCGTCTTGGCAGCATGTCGAGGCGCTATGTATAACCCCATAGTGGGGGCAGGTCTATTATACTGATGTCCGCCTTAGACAGGCGAGGAGTCAACAAATTTCTTGCGCAATGTCATCGCCCTCCATAATGCGTACTAGTATTGTATCATCTTCGAGTCAAGTTCACAGAACGGGCGATATTGGCGCCCGTAGACAGCACGGCATTGTCTTGTCGCATTTCATTTTGCTTATTATTGGGGCATTCATGAGTTCTCAGCAATACTAGGTAGCTTAATATGGGGATTGATTGGACGAGACTACCCGCTGTTCCCATGGTAGTCTGTGAAGAGATGGACCTGGCAAATTGAGAGCCTTGCGCGACTTTGTTCTCTCCTCGCGAAGAGGGACTCGGACGAAGGCATTGCACATCAAAGTTTATTGCCGTTTCTTCACGATGGTGTCGGAATAAAGGGTGTAAGCTGACCACAATATCTCCGAGTGGGCCTTACGCCAAGGCCGCCAACCATAGCTCATCAATTCTTTTAAACTTCACCAGTCCGCCAAGGACCGACCATAACTCCGCCAAGTAACGCTCAGTAGAAAATTGCAGGCTGTGCTGGTGAGCAGCGAGTCAACAATGGGTTTAGCCTCACATGACTGGAACCCTGCTAACTCATCGCAGATGGAAAACTCACCATAGTTCCGGCATTTGTTTTACAAGACAGACTGCCACAATGAAGGATTCATGATCTGGCCTGCTCAGCCACCAATTTTCGCGTTTGTCACAGCATGCGCAATGAGGACCTGGACGATGATGATCAAAACTTGGCAGACACTATGACGACGCTTCTAAGTTGTGCGTCCAATGCTGGATACATGCTTCTCGCGGTGATGCTTTGTACACTTCAAAAAACCACTGTTGCAAAGGTCTTAGCATCATGATATATAGAAGAGCACTGTCTAGCCAGTGTAGTTCATTGCTTCAGTACGGCAGACACAAACACAGCAATCAAACGTTCTTCAGACACGATGATGAAGCTTTTTTCTTTCGCCTTCTTTCTACTCCTCAGTGGCAGCGCGGCTGGGAGTCCTCTCAACGATACAGCTTATGACTATGTTGTCGTTGGCTCAGGACCTGGAGGTGGCACTCTAGCGTAAGGATATCGCCTCCGACTACCCTCTTAATGCTAACATCTCCCAGCGCAAGCCTTGCACGCGAGGGTCATTCTGTCTTTCTCATTGAAGCTGGAGGCAATATGGGTGATGATCCTCTTCAACAAATTCCCGGCTTGTGAGTTTCCAGACCGCTTGACATACAAAGCTATGTGCTTATACTTCACAGAGCGGATGTCAACTCGGAGGACCCAGCCATGTCCTGGCAATTTTTTGTGTCTCACTACCAGAATGAGACTCAAGCCCGTCGCGATCGTTACTTCACCTACCGTCTTTCAAATGGCACACTCTGGTACGGCATTGATGCCCCCGAGGATGCAACTCCGTAAGTAATGCACCAGACCGTTGCTTGGTAAGTCATTAACCACCGATTTAGACTTGGCATATACTATCCCAGAGGAGCTACGGTTGGTGGTTCTGCTATAGCGAATGCTATGAATGTGGTTCTCCCACCCGACAGTGACTGGAACCACTTCGCCGAGGTTACAGGAGATGAGTCCTGGGGCCCTGAAAACATGAGATCAATGTTTATCGAGCTTGAGAGAAATACCTATACGCCTGAAGGGACGCCAGGTCATGGTTTTGATGGGTATATTTCGGTAAGTGGAATTATCAACCGCAATAACTACATGACTAACAGGAGTTAGACTAACAGAAACAACATTTCTTATGTTGTCGACCGCCCGGGTGTGCTTCGTGTGGTCCAGAATGCCATCTCCCAGACCGAGGGCATCGAAGCACCCGACTCCGAACAAGTCATCGAGCTGATGGAAAGAGACCTGAACCGTGCTGATAGCGACCGTTACGAAGTCCCGGGCTTGTACCAAATTCCACTACACGTTGACGAGAACCGCCGCAGAAGCAGCCCCTGGGATTACATCACGGATACTTTGGCTTCGAAACGCGAAGATGGAACGCAGCGATACCCGTTGACCTTGAGCACTCACAGCCTCGCGACTCGCATTCTGATGAAGAATGCTGAGGCTGGCTTGAAAGCCTATGGGGTAGAGTTTATGGTTGGAGAAGGCCTTTATGAGGCCGATCAGCGATACGACCCCTCGGTCGAGCCCCAAGTGCGCACTGTCAGGGCCAAGAAGGAAGTCATCATCTCAGGTGGTGCATTCAACACTCCTCAGCTACTCAAGCTCAGTGGAATCGGACCTCGAGAAGAGTTGGAGAGATTCGGCATCCCAGTTGTCGTTGATCTTCCTGCCGTGGTAAGCATCGGCCTCCTCATAGGACTTCTCTTCATGCTAATGAACCTCTTAGGGCGAGTTCCTGCAGGACAACTACGAGGCGGGCATCAACGTTCGGTCAAACATCGTATGGGAGAATAGCCCCTTCGCACAATGCACGCCTGGTAGCCCCGAGACAGACCCCTGCCTTGCGCAATGGCAAGCCGGCTACGGTGCATATGGCGAGGCCGCTGCTCCCATCTTCATACTGCATCGTAGCAACCAATCCAGAAACGCGGACTGCGACCTCATCATCTTTGGTGCGGCCGGTGGTGTGTTCGACGGTCACTATCCCAGGTTCAGCGAAGTTGCATGGCCGCCTACATCCTTCTTCTGGGCCGTCGTGAAGATGCAAAACGGCAATCCGACAGGCACCGTGAGACTTCGATCGTCCAACCCCCGAGGGACCCCGGAGATCAACTTGAACTTCTATCAAGAAGACGCTGATGTCGACATTGCTGCTCTTTCCGAGGGCATTGAACATCTCATGTCCATCATGAACGTCACTGGAGAGCCGTACCAGCCCTTTCAGGTCATTGATCCCCCGGCAGACCGTTCACTTGAGCAACATATCCGGGATAACACTTGGAGCCATCACGCAGCCGGCAGCTGCAGGATGGGCAAGACAAATCTGGACAGTTGTGTTGACTCAAAGTTCCGAGTGCATGGTGTTCAGGGGCTTAGAGTTGTCGATGGCTCAGTCTTCCCGAGAGTGCCCGGCGGGTTCCCTGTTGGTGCGACGTATGCTGCCAGTCGAAAGGCATTCCATGACATAGTCAGCAACTAAGGAAAGCAACAGTGTTGTCCATCTTGTCTGTTAAATCCGACTCGGACTGAGCGTTCACAACGATATGGCTATGGGTGTTCTTTTTGTTCTTTGTCACCGGAGAGATCGCGGAATGTCAATAGAGGATCGCCATAGGTAGTCGCACATACACATTTGGTAATTCGTATACAGTGTCTCCCTCGTTTGAACAGTTCACCAGTGACTCTCTCATTATCTTGGATTCCATTGGTGATGTTTGATCCAACTCCAGCTCAGTGATTACGCAGTCACCTCGTTGCTAAGGATGGTATTGGTGTTAAAGTTATTGCGCTGAATGGAAATCATGCTTTATTAGACAAGAAGTTGATAATTGAGAAAAATACAACTGCCATGGCGCTGAACGCAAGCTCCCGCGGTTGAGTACTGCTCAGAAGCTCCGTTCCATTATGACAGCATCAAGAAGTGAAATGGACCTGCCCCCTAGTCCAAAATAAGCCCATCCTTATTCGTTCGAAGGTAAACCAGCAGATGATTTAGTTGAGCTTGAGGCCCTCGTAGCGGTCGATCGTAGTGGTGATAGTTCCGGTGAGCATGCCGGCCTGTACCTGGAGGTCGGTGGCTCTGCTCTGCACGGCACCGATGAGGGCAAAGGCGACAGACTTAAGGCGTAAGAGGGTCAGCCAGACTTTTCCACATCTTTGAAGATTTTGGAGACTTCTTGATGGGGCAGACGGGAGAGGGGGAACTCACATCGACGACCTTTTCAACCTGTCTGAGGACGGCAGCAATGGGCGCTCCGATGAGGGGCACGGTCGAAAAGAGACCGGCCTTGCCGATGAGCACGTTGAGAAGCATCTGATGGATGCGCACGAACTCGCGGAAGGCCTCAAAGATGGCGTCGGACTGGGGGCCGGCCGGGACGGGAGGCATTCCCTGCATTGGGGCCATCGCCGTGGTGACGGTGCTGACAATATCTACGAAGCCGGTGATGATCTTCTGCGGATGGGAAAGATAACGTTAGCTTCTGGAATTTTGACGAAGTTCCTATGCGGCAACAGACGGGGCCCGACTTACCGGGAAAGGACCCAGGCCGATGACGAGCAATGGCCCGCTGACGAGGTCAATCTTTTGCGCGGGGGCAATGAGATCGTTGGACTTTTTGGTGACCATGTCGATGTTCTGGACGACTTGGGCTGGGGTCGTTTGGCCGAGGACGGAGTCGCTGCAAATTGCCAGGGCGGCGACGGCGAGCTTGAGGATGGAGAACTGCATGTTTGCTGATTTGAACCGAAGGGAGAAAGGGCTGCAAATATGGTTGTTCAGCTTGGAAAAGATGGGCTGGGCTATGTCGAGAAGATGAGATGGTGATGAGAGCTGTGATGAGAATGGCGATAATGCCGGGAGATGAGTAGCTTCTTATATTTGGTTCTGGGTAATAACTCGATGCCTGAGATACATCTTCAACTTGAATTTCAATTAACTGCAGATTTTGCGTGCCTCTCCTGCCGACTGAGATCTTGACGCGCTCATGGCTTACACTGCCGTTTTTATGCCAGCAAACTTGGGCACGAGGTTTGCCAAGCTCCTCCATTAGGAACGATCAGCAACTTCACAGACCTCTTCATCTTGCTGAAAACTTTTGATTCCAGGCTAATTCGGAGCAATCCTGGCAAATAAAAGTCAAGAATCACGGGCTTGGGCGAAAGAGCTTCAATGATGAGCCATCATCAATTTGTTGCCAAGACACCTAGTATGTGTGTAATCAGAGACATTTAAAGATCCGAGACAGCAACGGATCCAACTTTTTTAGCCCGAGAAACTTGTCTCCTAAACAGGCAACATCTCAAAGTTCTCCCTTCCGGATTCTTCAAAGTGGATATCTTACAGCAACCCAAATCAAAGGCTGGTACCGCGGCGGAGCGAGCATCTCGGGTATTCAATCTCCTGGTCCCAAGATCTGCAACGGTTTCACTCAAAGATTCCGACTGGCCTTCCTCCTAGTCCCGCAGAAGACCACAGAGATACCCGCTTCAGGGAACGTCTCGTAAGATTAACCCAAGTATGATCTAGATTAGCGTTTAGGCAGCGCGGCTAAGGCTTGCGAGAGGGACAACACGACGACGTAGGTGGCATCTTGGCAGTAGAAGCTCAACCTCTAAGAGCCGGAGCCAACCCACTTTCGGCGACTGTAAAAACCGTGCTTGATGTAAGCATAAGCATTCCCGAACGGTTGTCGTACTTTGGTGTTTGGCATTCGACACTGGCGTGGGCTAGGGCGGAAGCTTGACTAGATCCCGAGATAAAGGTTGATTGGACGTCAGTCAAGTCCCTCCCACTTCGACCTCTGTCGTCTACCGTGTCGCCAGCGCGCATGCTCAAGCATTCGAAAGACGGCAGACGGAGATGCGAGACATAGAGGAAGCCTGTTACGACTCTGTTAAGAGATGTATTCATTCGATGCTACACCGGGCCGTCGAATTAGTATCAGCCTACTTCATCTCTCCCCTTGTCCCGTTCCTGAAATGGCCCGCCACAGGTCTCAGGGTCTTCAACACCGACCAGAACGGACGTATACTAGCTTAAACCCGATTTACCGCTTCAGGCTTAACGGTGTTTCTCCGCACGAGATGTTAGATCTCGGGCTGGAGACGTGCCGGGCAGTTAGGGGCATTCCAAGAGGCCGCTTGGCTGAGTCCCTCCGAGTCCAGGGCAGTGGGAGTCAGACACGCTGTGGAGCCCGCGGGTGCTGATCTTCCCGATGATTTGCATATCTCGACAACGGCGTGTTGCTACAATCTGAAGTCGAGGTAGGGAAAAATCAACGATTGAGAGTTTTTGTTGCGCGATTTGATTCTACGGTGTGTGTTTTTTTGTCCCGAGATGAACGATGTCCAGTGTTGGCTTGCATGCGGTCACTGTGCGAAGTAGAAGTGTGAAACGGATCCTGACCGCGGGTAAATTAACCTCCTCTGAGAAACGGTGTCCCTTTCGAGTCTCTGGCGGCTAGTGGCCAAGAGAAAAGGGAAAAAGTAGTGAAATTGTGGCTTGTTGACGCCGAATCCCAAAGCTGCTAGATACTTGTCCAGGTACTCTCCCGTGGTGACGGCGTTACCGGAGTCGGACCCATACATCCGGGTTATCCCGCTACCGAACTCCCGAGAAACGACCCCGCTTCTCCGGGCACTGAACGGAGGTGCGGAGACTGCTCCGCAAATTCTACCTAGCAGACGAAAAACCGGGGAACCCATTTCCCCAGACTTTCACACTCCCCTACCACCATTTCCAACTCAAAAAATGACGTCCAATCCTACTACAGTGGGGTGTCAAAAGTTCGTATATACCCCACTAATACGCATGCCGACGCGTTTTCTCCTTAACATTACTTTTCCTTTTATATCCCATATCTTTAGTAAATAGAGGCTAATTTATAGGCTTTTTACTCTCGAATAATAGGAAGCTATAGGGCTAATTATAAACTTATAGAAGTTTAGTAAGCGACGATTACTGTACTTATTATAACTAGGAAGAGCTACTACGAGGTTACGTTACTTTTTAGCCTATTATACTTAATAATATAAAAAATAGTTTATTATTTTAATTTAAGCGCCGATTTTAAATCCCTACCCTAGGAAAGAAAGCTAGAGAATTTTTTTAATAAAAAGAAACGTTTTATAATTAGATCTGCTTAAATTAACTACTAATAGCCGTATTTTAAGCTAGTTACTAAGTAATAAAGCTAGGCTAGCCTTAGTACTATTAAGTATATTCTTAAGAAAGTAAGCTACTATAAATAGAGAGCTATAAAAAGACCTTTTATAATACTAAAAATAGTAGCTAAAAGGCTCGATTTTATAAAAAACTAGATCTAAAACCTAGGAGAATTGATAGTAGTATATAGTTTAGTACGAAGACCCTATATAGAGATTTATTTACTAATTCTTAATTATTTTAGTCCTAGTTCTTTAACGAATCGTCCTATTAGAATAATACTTCTACCCTAACCGAATAGGTATTTAGGTTACTAAAAGACCGCTAGAAAAAGAGATTTATTAACTTTATTAATTACGTTAAAGCGAATATATTTATTATAATATAAGTAATAGTATAAAGGGATAGTTGCTTTAAATTAGTATTCTTTATTCATAACGACCGCTCTTAACGGTAAGGGTATAGTATAAATAGTTATATAGACTACTTAGAAGAGGGGTATTTATTATACGTAAACGATACGCGTTATTTTATATAGGATAATACCCCTATTTATATTATAAAGCGGATAATAGAGTAGCTTATAGCCTATAAGATTTCCTAGCTTAAATAGCCCCTATATTTACTAAACCTTAACCTAATTAAGTATTACTAACGTATAATAAAGTCTAACTTACGTAGATTATATTTAGAAGTATTTATTTTAAAGAGGAATAAGTTAGATATAAAAGAGTTTAAGTAGTAATTAAGGGTAGCGTAGGAGGCTATATTATTAAAGAAGATTTAGAGTTTAATTAACTCCTTACCGCGCTAACTTATAGTAATAATTTAGGTACGTAGTTAGTATATACGATATTAAAGAGTAAACTTAGGGCTTTTTTTTATATATACTTTCGCTATATAAATTAGAAAATTAATAGTTCTACGGCTAGTCGAAGTATAGTGGTAAAAATGCAAGAGGTTGGGTAATTAGGGATAATGGTGGGGTGTATACGAACTTTTGACACCCCACTGTATACTACACCACACCACCAGCCCCTCCCGCAATTGACAACCACACTACGACCACCGCACCACACCGCTCGCGCGGGCCAAGAGCTAAAGGTCACATTGGGCATCCCCGACACGAGGTGACATCGCTCCGATCGACGGCCAGCACATAAACAATGCGAGCAACGCAACGATGTCCGGGGGTTGGGTGGGAAGCCAGCAGTCGTCACCATCCAGTCATTCGCATCAGCGGAATACCATGTTTTCTTGCTTACGCAGGTATTCAGTAGGTAGTATGAAAATGCAATGTGCTACATTATATCGATAAGGCTCATATAGCCACCTTTGAATCCTAAGTCCTCTGTAAGTCAAAAGTGTCTATGTACATGAAGTGAACCCCAGGTCTGCTGCAACTGGAGTTGCCTTGAACACCCCTTTTCTGAGAGAGTTTTGCGCGACCTTTCTGCTGTCAAATAGAATTACCCTCCATAACCATTCTCCTGGGATATCATTACTCCAGTCATCTGGATGCCATGTGTTTCTTCCCATCATTCCAGTCCTTCCTTTTACCGGTTAATCATCAGTGAGTGTAAGGGGTATATCTGTATATCCGTGCCGTCGTAGCATTGAGCTTGTCGTCAAAGTCGTATGGATGCGGTCCATTATTAAAGGCCCAATCGCCCCAGAAGAGACGGGCATTAGTGTAGAAATGAGGTCATCGTTGCCCTCAGAGAAGTAAAACGAGAGAAAGAAAAGTCCAGAAACAGATGGTCCATCTTCCAGGACCAAACGTCTAGAGGAGAGCAACGGCACCAACGAGGCCAGCCAGGAAGGCAGCTCCCGGCGCTCTGCGGGCGTCGGCAGCAGCAGTAGGTACAACCACTGGAGCCTGGCTCGACACCGTGACCGGGGGAAGGGTCACGGCGCTTGTTGTAGGGACGACGAGGGTGCTGGCAGGCCGGGTCTGTGTAGCGTACACAGTTCCCGACACGGTGATGTAGACCCATGACTTTTGCGTCACGACACTCTCGCCGCCCACGGTCACGGCCTGGGTGACCTCGACGTGTGCCGTCTTGGTCTCGACAATGACTTCCGTCAGGGTGTGGACCTTCTCGACGGTAATGGTTTTGGTGCCTGTGGCAGTGATCCAAACCGTCTCTCCGTGCTCGATGGTCTGATAAGTCGTCACGGGCTTTGTAATGGTCTCGTAGACTTCTGTGGAAAGATGCTGAGTGGTCTTTACGGTCGTCCAGACGTCCACTTTGGTGGGAACTTCCGTGACGATGGTTGAGGTAGATGTGTAAGTGACGACTACCGTCTCTCCGCCAATAGTCTTGGTCTCGGTCTGGCCATCATGTTAGCTCGGGGAGGTCCGGGAAGTCTTGGCTGAAGGAAGGGGTTCTCAAGACTCACCACAGGGCAAAGAGAAGTGATGGTGGTATACTCGACGTCCTTCTCCGTCTTGGTGACGTCAGGGAGCTTCTCAGTCTGCCAGACCTTGGTAGGAACGTGAGTCACAATGGTGGATGTGGTGGTGTACGTCTTGGTCCAAGTCTTGCCACCCTCGGTGTAGGTCTCCGTGACCGGGCAGAGGCTTGTGAGGGTCGTAAGCTGGACATCCGTGGCCGTCACTACGGCCGTCGGGCCGGGAACGGTCTCGATGATCTTGGTCGGCTTCTTTTCGATGACGGTGCTGAGTGTGGTGTACACAACAGTCTTAGTGGTGCCTTCGCCAACGATCGTCTCCGTCTGTAGGAAGTGTTAGTCAGGATGCCCTTTGCTCGGAGCTTTTGGCTGGGAAGCTTTGCTTGGAGGGACCACTTACAATCGGGCAGTAGGTGGTGTAGGTGGTGTAGTCAGTATCGATTTCCGTCACGACTTCAGTGGCGCCTGGAAGGGTCTCATAGATCGTCGTGGGATGCTTCTCTACAACGGTGGACGTGGTGGTGATGGTCTCATACTGAGTGGTGTGTTCGCCGGGCTTGGTGATTGTCTAACAAGGAACGTCAGCCACGCCGCATCGTAAAAAGGGCTCGAGGTCTACTTACAACAGGGCACACGGTCGTGTACGTGGTCAGGACTTCCGTGACAATAGTCTTGGTCTTATCCTTACCCCAGTCGTGGTCCTCGGTTGCAAGGGCGGTGGCGGCCAGAGCCAGCAGAGCAGTAGTAAACTTCATGGCTGCGGGTGGAGGTGAGATTGAGAGCTTTTCAAACGAGAGATACTCTTGAAACGATGGGCGGAGGAAGCGAGAGCTTTAATTCGAGCGAGAGTCTCTTAAGTAACCTTAACGAACGAGTTACTTGATAGCACAAGATCACGAATATGTGGTTGGCTGGGGGATGGAGAGAGGCTGGTGAGGGCTGCAAGAGGATGGAGAAACAAAGAGAAAGGTTCGAGCAAAGAAGAGATGGCTGGGTAAGCTTATATCTTGAGGCCATGAACAGGTGGCCGGCATACCCGGTCTGCCTGCAGGCGGACGGGCGAGGAGAAGAGGAAGCAGAGTGCGAAAGATGAGATGACATCTCTGCTTGTCGACCAACAGAGGTTGGCGATCTTCACTGCGGCTTGCAGTAGTCTTGGGCCATGTGGACAGCAGACCAGCCGCGGCCTGATCCATGAAGAAGGACCTTGGGTAGGGTGTAGAGGACAAGTACGCCAAGTGTGTGATACGAGGGAAGACGATCTTGGAGATGCAGCCTAACAGTTGGGAAGAACCTGGAGCTCAGTGAGTGGCTGGAGGAGAGCTCGATGGGATAGGTGAGGACGCTGGTGTAGGACGAGTCCTGTGGTGTGTATAGATGAACGACTTCGTCTCGGCCGAATGGCGACACGGCAGCCAAAGGCGCAATGGTTGACTCGAAATCGGAAGATGAGGCATACGCCACCCGGTGTGCGTAGTGCAACTGCAGCCAAGAGACGAGGTTGGACGACGACAACGAAAGACGAGGACGGCGAGGCTCGACAAGGTCCAGCGACACCCATGTCGCTTTTGACCGTCAGACGGGTAGCTTATGTGATGACTTGAACGAATAAGAGCGCGAGTATTGACTAGGGCCGATGGCATTGCAGCTTGCAGAAAGACGACTAGGTAGGCAGACCGCCATCCCCCGGCTGGCCATGTTGCCCCGGCCGTGATGCCGTTGTCAAGGCTGTCAGCTCAGGCTTTGACATCCTAGCCGGCTGGTGTCGGTAGTAGCCGACTGATGATGACGGCACAAGGAGGGGCATTTAATATAATCCAGGTGTCTTATGTGGTGAGCTTTGGAAATCCCTTGGCCCAATGATAGCCGTATTGACACGACACTGGCTGCGAGCAAGGCATGAAGCCAACATTTCCAGGGCTTTTCGTCAATCCTGTCTGACTAGATGCTTGAAAAGGCGGGCAAGGCAGCACTGCAGGCCGCGAGGTGACGGAAATGTTCGCTGGCGATCGAAGAAACCCCCTCACTTTGGACCATCTGTGCCTTAGTTGCTTCACACAACCGCGTTCTTTCTTGAGTCTCGACCGATTAAGTATACCCGAGTAGCAGCAAAGTCGAGCGCCAGCAAGGAGCGGCGTCTTCGTATTGCTGATAGATGTTGAGTCTTGCGCTGTCAGTTCTTTTCTAGCCGCATCTACTTTTGATTAAATTTCCGCCGTCAGAAGCTGGGTATGAGGCGGACTCGACCGGCGCATAAGTTTCTCAATGTCGGACAGACGTAGCTCGATGCTTGCTGTGCCCTCGAGGGGGGCTCGTGTCCATGTCGTGGCACCAAGCTCAAGACCTGCAGCTTGCGGGAAACATCCAATGAAGAGACGCACCAGTGATGCAGTCCAAGTCGTTGGTGTACAGGAACGCGTCCAACCAGATCCAGGGGCCGGCTCCGAATGAGCACAAAACTTGTTTTGGTGTGGCCGCCAAATTCTGGAAAAGAGCCGGGACAGCGGTAATCAGGCCAGCGCCGGGCAAATTCCAAGAAAAATAATGTTTACAAACTAGACCTCGGTCATCCGTTTACTAGCCTTGCTTAGAAGATGCATATCCTTCGAAATACTCAAAAAAAAAAAAAAAAAAAAAAAAAAAAAAAAAAAAAAAAAACCCATCGTCGGGTTAAATAGAGCGGGCTGAGCCTTTGCCCGACTGTGCCCAATTGGCAGCCAAGACGTGAAGCAGCTTGTTGCCCGTGTAGCTGGCGTGCTCGTAGGTTGACAACCAAAGCTCGGCACAAGTTCCCCAAGTGCCGCCATTGCCAGAGCACGATCCAGTGATCGTCCAAGTGGCCCAATGTTTCCCGCGGGGTACCCCTGACTCGCCCCAGCTAGGACCAGCCGCCCTAGACTGAAGTCTGATGTGTTGGTTTCTATCAGGAATAGCAACAGCTAATACTGATAGCCCCGGAACATGGCCCCGGGAGGGCAGGCATTTGCTGGTGCGAGACGCCGGCGACTTTAGAGTCGATGAAGAAGCTATCTGATAAGCAAAGCACGCCATAATGGCTTGGGTGTGTTAGTCGCGTGTCAGCAGGAGTGACTGACAAGGAGCGGCTCAACAACATTGAGCATCGAGAATTGGGAATCGAGAATCGAAGCTATGACAAACGGATCATTTGGTACATGCGGCAAAGGCTCCAGCCTCTTGGAATCTGGGCGAATAAGCCGCGTCGGGGCGGCGCCATGGAACATGGGTGAGCGCTGACAGTCAGCAGGAAGTTGGCTACTTCGCATTGTTGTCGCCTGCCCCGCCATTTTGTGTTGACGGTTGACGAGGAGTTGCGGACGAGGGGCCAGTGGCTTCATCTGCGCCGTGCTCTTCTTCGGGCACTTGCGTAGTCAATATTTCTTTTCCCAGCTCCCCGCACTGCCCGCCGTTGCCGAACGACAGCCAACGACGTGCAGAACAGGGAATAGAGGTAGGCAATTGAGTCTGGAGAACTTTGGTACTGAGGGAATTCCCAATGGTCAGGTGCGTCAGACCTTCTGGGAAGTAAGCCAGTTGGCAAGCCGATGCCATGGGTGCCCATCCTTCTCTACATACACAGTAGAGCAAGGTCTCCGGGCAAAGGACTTCCCTGGCAACAGAGCGGCACAGCTTTCGGTAGGAGCCCCGCAGTGGTCGTCAAAGATGGCTGGCGTGATGATGATGATGTTGATGGACGCCTCGGGAGCGGCACGGTTGCCCAGACTTTGACCAAAGCGAGGACCAGGAACTGGCTTCCAGTCGCTATGCACGAGAAGACGCCGGGCCGGGTACAGGGGTTGAGCGCGAGAAAAGAGTGGGTTGAGTAAGGCGTCCAAATCCGATGCATGATGCACATTGGCGTGGGCATCGTCGACAGGGATGTGTGGAGAGGAAGTGGGGAATATTGGAACCAAGGACGGCACGAAGAGGTGAGAAGTGACGAGCAGGCAGGCAAGTTGGAGCGAGCCATCGACATCGTGAACCCAAGGTTGAGGGAAGAACACACTGGGCGGTTGGATGAAGCGGAGAGAAGAAGAGACGAGGGAAGTTTGGTTGGGTTCAGATGATGGCTTCTGCCGTCTTCCCTTCTATCGTGTAAGCATCCCATGCAGAGGACCTTCTCCCCACATCGTTCCCACTTTGCGACAGCTCATGGATTCAATTTACAGTTCTGGCCCCCAAACCTAATGACAACGGACGCTGTGAGGCGGGAGCGCAGCGTTTCTGTCGTCTGGACTCTCGGCATTACCTGCAGCCACATGCAGCTCGACTTGAGGGTGAGCAGGTACGTAGTCACGCAATCTACCAGCCATGTGTATTGCATAAATCGTATATTCAATTGTCTATACGATAAAGAGAAGCGAAGATCTGGAGTCTGGTAGGTAGGCAGGCACAAAGGCAAATTACCTAGACGCCAGTGGGGAGCGGGGTAGGATTTACATAGCATAGGGCAGCAGTGGGAATGCCCCTCTCCATCGCCCCTCCCGGCACATTTCCCAGCAGGTACCGCCTGCCCCGCTCTGCAAGTTTACTAGTTTACTATCTTTGCCAGGCCCGAAGCGGCAGAAAGTTCCTCCGTTCATACCACTGTGTAGTTAGTTACCTTACGAGAGGATCTTGGTGGGGGCTTAGTGGCAGCAAAACGAGGTATGGCGAGCGCGTAGCAGATGTCACTTGGATCGAGACGGAACCGTGTGGCTCCGATCAGAGACCTCAAACTGACAGTGATGGAACTGCAACGGGAGTCTCGGCCGAGCCCGAAAAGAAGCCATCCCGGGGCAGCGGAACCCTCGGCCGACCCAGAAGTTGACATCCGTCTCTTGTGGAGATTTTGACCCGTCTGTATCTCATCAAGAGGAAGTGAAGTGCAGAAATAAGAAAGCGAGGCTCACCTCGTTTGCGTTCCCAGACTCGAGATTGATCAAGTCGAGCGTCAAGAGGCTATTGTCGACTTATTCCAATACAAACAATGTCCCTCTCGGATTACCTTCCAGCAAACTGGGACAGCCCTTTGCGCCTGGCGGCCTTTTCCATATCAGGACCCATCATCGTTCTCCTGTTATGGATTCTTGTTTCTTACGGTCGTGTGTTGTACTTGAGGTCTCGCATGCCACCCGGTCCGTTCCCATATCCCATCGTTGGAAACATCGGGCGTGTGCCCGCAGCGAAGCCCTATCTCATCTTTGAGAAATGGTCAAAGGAATATGATAGCCCTCTGATCACTATTTGGACGGGAAACCGTCCGACGATCGTTGTAAACGACTGTTGGGCAGCATCGGATTTATTGGACAAACGAGCCCAAATCTATTCGTCGCGTCCACATTCCTACCTAGCCGATGCATTTGACGAAACAGAAAACAATCAGACCAGCCTCGTATATGGAGACAAATGGCGTTTACATCGACGTATCACGGTCAGTCGCCTATAGCGATATCGTTGCTACCTGTGTTGTCTTTTATTGACGGCCTTTCAGCATACCGTAGTTGGCAGCCAAGCCGTTCGGGGACACCGAACATTCCAGGCCAACGAGTCCAAGATATTGATTCGTGATATCATGGAGACCCAGCAGTTCGTCTCGGCTATTGAGCGATACGCATGCTCAGTTGCCGCCATTATCGGATGGGGCCGTCGGGTTCGGTCGATGGATGACGATCTTGCTAAGCTCGCGTTATCATTCGTGCAGACAGGGGCTGGCTTTTCCGCACCGGCTCAATATTTAGTCGAAGCCTATCCATGGATCAGCAAGCTTCCTCAACGTATCTACCCGTTTCCTTCCATGATATGGGATGAGGGGCAAAAATTGCTAAAATACTTCTATGCCCTTACCGTCGAAGGGGCTCAACTTGAACAGGATAGCTTCTCCAAGCGTCTCATTCAGGACCAGGAGAACAACAACAAGTTATCTCCCAAAGAAATCGCCAGTCTGACAGGTAATTTGATCGGAGGTGGCGTAGATACCACGACGACCACCATCATCGTCTTCATCTTCGCCATGTGTGCCTTCCCGCGCGTTCAGCAGAAGGCACAGGAGGAAATTGATCGCGTCCTGGCAGGCGAACCCCCTAGTTGGGCAGATGAGGACTCTCTTCCATACTGCAAGGCGCTTCTTACGGAAATATTTCGCTGGCGAGCCGCGATTGCACTTGGAGGTCCTCCTCATGCACCTGTTTACGACGATTTCTACAAGGGGATGTTTATTCCCAGAGGTACTTCGATCATTGGAAACCTTTGGGCCATCCATCGCAATCCACGAGACTATCCTTACCCCGATGAGGTACGACCTGAGAGATTCTTGGAAGAGCGACTGCCAAATCCTAGCAAAAAGGGCATCTTCACATTTGGTTGGGGTCGACGCCTTTGTAGTGGGCAACCCCTTGCTGAACAAGGTATCTGGTTTACCATCGTGGGATTACTTTGGTCATTCAAAATGCGATCTACCGATGAACATGTGAGTGAACTGCGGATTCGCCGCAATGCGCCAATTGATCAGTTGCTGATGATTTGACTCAATTTAGGGAAATTCCAAGGAGCTGGATGTTTTTGCATTTAATGATAGCCCAGCCCCAAGGCCGTTGCCATTTACGGTGGAGTTTAAGCCCCGGACTAGTACTACCAAGGGCATCATTCAAGCTGCTGCTTTGAAAGCTGAAGACGAGCTGCGTAAGTACGACGTCAATAGTAAAGTAGCTATAGAAAACTTCCAGTAAACGTGTAAATAGTGTTTCCGGGCGAACTTTCCAGTGAGTCCCTGGGAAAGGGGGGTGGGGGTTGCTTCTTCGCAATATACAGCGTTCTTCGTAAGCAACTAAATCAACCATGAGGACTGAACTGGATTTGATTGCGACACTGTTATGCCATGATTCACTTTAATCAATCATCGAACGCTTACCAACCGAATCTTTCCAGACATACAGCAAGACAGACCTCGGCCCCATGCCCGACGCCCGAATGCCCGCCCAAATCCTGTCTTTATGTAAGTAATCGGCCACACCACTCTGTGGCCAGATACGCCCGGCTCTCGTAGTTAGATTGGTCAAGTTGCCTTCACGAAACTCATGTGATCATTAATGTGCCATATCGGCGTCGATATTATCGTTATCTCTACTGACTACAGCCAGCCATGAGAATCTGAGATACCTCGAGCTAGAATAGTATATGTGGCGTTCTGAGAAGAACAGAGACCTTCTCCCTCCTTTTTGAGGGTGCATGCTAGTTGTTGCCAATCGATATCCCGGGTTTGTAATAGTCTGGATAGAAGACCCATTTGTTAATGCGTTACAGATCGACCTCATGCTTCGCTCATGGAAACCCAGTTTTCTGCCCTCAGGCATTCGGTGTCAAACAACCCCAATGCTGCTCTCTCGCGGATTCGGAACTGATGCACTCAATAGCCGTCCTATCATAGGTTATCATTATTCAATCCGAGCAATCGGGGACAGTCTGTCGAAGATGAGTGCGATAGCAAAGCACGGCATAAAGCGACACTCATAGATGATTGGCAGTGCCCGGCCAATTTCAGCGCCTGGGAAAGTTCGGGGAATCCGGGGAAAATACACCGATGGAATTGATAAACGTCAACCACGGTTCCCTGATTGGCTCAAGCTGGACCGTAGGCACTTCTCTCGCTGATAAGCTGCCAGGTGTGCTCAGATTTACTTGTCTTCTGCGGGCAAGCCACTCCAAAAGTTGCGATAACTTAGGAATAGCTACGGCTTCCTCTTCCTTGACCCTGGACATTAATGCCAGGCTCTGCCGTATACTATGCTTATCTAGCTGAGTCGAGGGGGGGTCCGAAAGAGGCAAGCTGTGCTCTACTCCAAAGCCGTTGAAGCTATGGCTATATAAAGAGCCCATGTCGGGTGTCGTCTCCACCCCACATTAGTTGAGGCTATCTACACTTGCTACATCTTTGTAAGCCCAGGCAATGCCAGTGCTTCATCAATACTTTTATCGAAATCAATGAGACACGATCATTCGAAACACGTTGCGCTACTATGGCTTCGCTGAAACTGGGCAGTACTCTTTCGTATGCGCTGATCTTTTGCGAAGCAGTTTTCAGCATTTGCATTATCTCCTACGATGCCGCCATGATCAACAACCTGAACGCCGTCGTGCCGTACCGACAACGTGGGTTGACTAACATCACATCTGGTATAAAACGAGCCACCTTAGTTGACAAACTGAAACAGATTTTGAACTCAATAGTGATATGGTCGGTCTCAATGCTGCCATCATCAGCGCCGGGTGCATCGTTGGCGCTCCCGTTGTTGGCCACCTCGTCGATCGCTGGGGGCGCAAGGCTGGTCTTGGGCTAGGCGCTACGAGCATCATCATAGGCGTCATATTAGAAGCATCCGCAACTAAAGGTGAGTGCGACATGTCGGCTTCTCTCTCACCAGGACCTTCACTTACACACATGTTCCTCAGTTGCACAACTCGTCTGCGGTCGCTTTCTCATCGGCTTTGCTACTTTGATCAACGGTTCTGTGCCGCCCATGTGGATTATGGAGCTGGGAGCGCCCAGATATAAATCAATGCTGGCCAACGCCGTGCTAGTCTCCGCGCCATTTACCGCCTTTTTCACTACATGCATCTTTTTAGGGATATGGGATAAGCAGTCAAACTGGGCATGGCGTGGAATCATGCTTGTGAGTGACTTTTGAAGACGACGCAGACCGTAGCTGACTTGTTGTATAAAGGGAGAAGCGGTGCCGTCTGTCCTTGCTCTATGCCTCCTACCATTCGTTGATGAGAGCCCACGATGGCTCTTCCACAGGGGTCGTACTGATGAAGTAGGTAGCTGCATGTGATATACGCCGAATGTTCGTGTCTTAAACTGTCTAGGCCATCGAAATTCTCGCTCGTCTGCATGCCAACGGAGATCGCCAACATCCCTTGGTAATTGCAGAGACTCAGGAGATCATGGGAACTTTGGAACATGAAGAGCAACACGACGGTGGCTGGAAAGAACTCATCGCGCCTGGTAAAGCGGGTCCCTGTTCCTCCATTCAGGTCTCAGACTAACATCTAACAAAAGCTTCCAATCTGAAAAGATTCGTCATCGCCGTGCTGATCAACATTTGCTATCAAATTATAGGGGCAAACGCCATCTTGTAAGTCTACACGTCCCTCCAATGATGCGCGAGCTGCCGCCAACTTATGCACACCCAGATACTTCTCATCCTTCCTAATTGCCGGACTAGGAATTGAAAACTACGGTACTATCATCCAGGTGAACATGGGCCTACTGTTATGGAACGCCTTTTGCAGCCTTGCCGGCGTCTTCGTCATTGACAAGATCGGCACTCGTAAGGCTCTTAGTAAGTTTTGCTACTTGAATCCGTGTGACGCGTGTGATTCACATTATATGTCTAGTCTTTGGCACAGCTGCAACTGTCGTCCTCTTTGCTATTCTTTCCGGCCTTTCGTACCTTGCAGACCAACATCCCGACGACCATCGATATGCCATTGGCGCCATCGCTGTTGTGGGCTTATTTCTTTTGGCCGTGTCTTTCAGCTGGTAAGCCTCGTCATAGCCTCGAAGACGATGCAGATCAAGCTAACACGATTGAAGGATGCTCCTTGCCTATACATATCCACCCGAGATCTTGAAATACTCACAGCGGTCTAAGGGTGTGGCAATTTCTCAGGCCATTGGCTATGCTTTCAGCTTTCTCAATCTCTACACAGCGCCGATAGCTATGGAGAAGATTGGCTGGCGGTACTTTGCCATCAACGGCGGGTGGAACCTCGCAATCTTGGCTACTGCGAGTTGGTTGTTCGTTGACACAAAGGGCAGAACTCTAGAGGAGATTGATGAGATCTTTGATGGAATGAGTCATACCGATGGCGTGATTATAGGAACAGATATTGCGCAGAGCTTTGAGCTAGATACGACGGGCGAGGCAGGAAAGATTGTTAGGAAGAAGCCTACATTGGCCTCTACCAACACGAGTTAATTAGGGGACTTACAAATATGGGGAGACGTCTGGATTGCAAGTTGAATTTTTGGTCAGCTCAGTTTCGGTCGTGGAGAGAAGTGGATGGCATCCGCCCCTATGATTGGGTTTCTGTCCGATATACAGGTCTTACCGACGAAACTATTAGAGATTCTGCCCTGGGTGAAAGATAGTTGAATGAGCGATGAAAGCCAGACGTTGCGTTAAGAATGACCGGGTCCTGAGCCCCGCATGTCCGCGCCCCAAAAGGTTAGAAACTCTATCGGACGTGGCTGGTGGACAGTGCACTTGGAGCACATACCCCACCTTGGTTCTGGGTACGTACCCTCAACTCCCATCCTCCATCCATTTCTCTTCTCCTGCCAACTCTTACCAACTATCCTCTTCGGCAGACATAAAATGCAGTACAATACTCATGATCCTTCGTCATCTTGAAACACTCTTGACTGATTATTCTACGGATCCACTACAGATAATCATCCTTCGAATTCCTAGCAGAGAATATTGTGATCGAATATGTGTCACTGCATGTCATTACCGACCTTTCAAAGCTTGTGACCCCTTCAACCCAGGGGATACTCATTCGTAATTGTGGAGGCTAGAATAATACTTGACGATAGCAGACACCTTAATATTGAAATACGATCCTCTATATTCAGTCTCTCGAAACGCCAAATCCTCAGCCGCGGAATGACAAAGCTATTATAGTATATTCTCGATGATGTGCCGCAGCACCTACTGGATATAAGTCACTTCCTTTGAGATCTAATTGGGACTGACGGTGTTCTCCTTCTCGCTGCCTGCTATACGTCATCGTTCTCCCGTACAAGTAGCTCAAGCCCTGTCGAGACAAATTCTGAGTACTTCTCTTCTGTCAGTTGTGGTTTTTGACTGCATGATAGATGCTCCGAGGAGGCTTTTGAGATATCGGGCAAAGCCTGATTTGGTCACTTCAAAGTTCCTCGTCGGCCCAAATCGGGATCGCGCCCACAGTGGTGAACCCATTATTCATAGGAATTGGAGTCATGGGTAGGGTGAAGACAGTGCTTTTGAAAGCCTTGTTAGCTGTAACTCATCACAGGGTCCGTAGCCGCAAGCAACTTGCTGGAGCTCACTTACTCAATGTCAGACGTTGCGGTTATGCCCGATCCGGTCGTGGCCGTGGGCTGGGGGTTTGGATCGACCCAGCTGCCGCCTGGGTTGGAGGCGCACACAACAAAGCCGACATATCGTGCGACGTTTTGACAAGACCGGCCGAGCTCCGGGTTCCAGGACACAATCTGGGCCCAGGTGGCCTTTGCCGAGTTCGCAATTGTGGTGCAGGTGTCGTCTGCCTTGACCACGTATGGCTTGCAGACGGCCGCGGTCGGGATGCAGAGCGTGCTCCCGGCGGCCGTGGGGAAGTTGAAGCAATTCGCGACAAGGTTGTTCGCGGCCAGCAGCTGAACTGTGTCGATGCTCTGCTGCTCCGCAACGGACTGGCACGTGTCTCCGGCCTTAATGGTGTACTTTGTCCCGGCGCATGAAGGCGACGCCGCCTGAGCTCCCGTCGAAGCCGTGACGGGCGTGTCCATGACACTCACCCAGGCAGGGCTTGCAGACGGGGGAGGTGTGACGTTGACGGTTGTCTTACAGGACGAGGCGATCATGCTGAGGCCACTCGCCAGGTCGGCGTTTGAGGCCAGGGGAGCCTCAACCTGTGTCTTTATGACAGAGAGGGCGCACTCATTGCACATCACGCTGGGGTCCGACGAGCCGGTGCGTTGCTGGTTCTCCGGGTTGATGCCGGCAAGCTTTCCGATGACCAGGTTACAATTCTCACCTGCACTTGTTTTTCGTTTAGTGTGAGCCTTCAGCTTAACGATGCCACGCCGCTCCTTCTTGTGAAACACATGTGAAGTGAAGAAAGCATAAAACACACCTACGCACCAAAACACACATACGAAGAGAGAGAGAGAGAGAGATGTACAGAAATGGGTCGAAACGAAGGAGAGGAGAACCTACGCGTTCGTCGCGCACAAGACGTTGAATCTCTCCCAGGCCAGTTCGGCGTCGTAGCCGGCGTGATAGCTGAGCCCATTCTTGTCGTCGGTGTAACGACTCGTCTCGCAGGCGGACTTCACCTCATCGAGATAGACGCCGAGAGCAGCCCTGCAGGTGGGCGTGCACAGCGAGTTAATCGTGTCACTGTCGTAATAGTAGTTGATCTCAGTCGCCCAGGTCAAAGACTCGTTGCAGTTGATGTCTTGATTGAGAACGCCGATGCAGGTGTCGTTGAGGCCGGGAGTGCCAGGGGGGATGTTGGCAAGGCGGATATCGGTCACAACGCGGTGGGCGAAGACCATGACCAAAAAAGCCACACCCTTGAAATTCTTCATTTTTCCTGATTCTGAGTATATCTGATGACGATGGGGGAAGCGTTCGCGGCGTAGGAATCGGCCGGTAAGATAATGGATGGGTGAAACAAGACGAGAAGGACTCAGTTGTCGAGCCGGAGTGAACTCGCCCAGCTCGAAGTGCGGCTTTTTGATGCCGAGTCCTGGTCGTCTGCAAGGTCCAGATTTGCCATGGTCTGAGTATGAACGATAGTGGAGCCATAGCCCTGTTGCATTCAAAGAGCTTGTTGCCTCGATTAAACTTAACGAGCCGCTGCCGTGCGGGTCTGCCAAGTCGGAAATGTCACACTATTTGAGACTGGTGTACGGGGTCCGCATCGTCGGCTTCACCTATCGACACATCTCGGATGTCAGCGCCGGCAAGGCTCTACTGTTACCGGAGGGGCGTACAAATGACCATGGAGCAGTAAGAGTGAAATCCTTGCTGCACCGACATTAGAGATGCCTGAGTGGGTACGGAATAGGTGTATGGAAACAAGCTTCGGCTTGTTGGTTGTTGGTCGTGTCGGCTGTGTTGGTCCAACACGCTCGAGTTGATCTATCCGTAGGCACCAACCGGACGTTCTCCGACGAGCTGTCCACCGCCAAGTGTCTAACCTAAGCGGGCCGGCAGGCCAGCTAGTCAAAAAAAAAATGGGAATGGGTTCTTTTGGACCCTGTTCCAACAACTTCACTTCCAACAGACTTTGGTTGCAAGGGTTCAGTTGCCGTTTTGGGTCTAAAGCAATCATCGTGGTTATCCTCTCGAGCCTCGTGATGCAGTCGCGTTTAGCGCGCTGTGTTTATACGATTCGTTTCTCGCTGAAGAATCTGCTCATGGTGGAGATAACTAATTTGCTGCTCGCAAATGTCAGCAACAATCATCAGCCATGGCCGGCCTGGAACCAAGTCGTGATCCATCCGCAAGACAGGGGCGAATGAGGTTCTTCTCCGAGGCTCGTTGCAGAACCGCCAGTAGATCAGGTTCTCGGAATGGACGGAGCTTCAAGAGAAGATAATTAGAAGGCTAAACTAGAGAAAAAGAGACACTCCTTGCACATTATTCCCTTCCTCCTCCCGCTCTGTCCTTCTCTCACTTAGAAGAGACTCCCTCTCAAATCTCAAGAGCGTGAAGCTGCGCTGAAAGCTGCCACTCATTTGGTATTTTACTTGCCCATAATTTTGTTCCATCATCAAACGAAACTTCCAGTCTTTTTTAGTTTTCCCTTTTTATTTTCTATTTTCTTTTGGTTTTCGTCATCGTTTATACCAAGACACTCATTACCTTCACTTTCCTTCGGCTGGCTACGGCCTCATCATCATCAGCACCATGCTGTTTTCCCCGGTTCTTCTTTTCCTACTGGTGCTTAGAGTCACCAGCGTTGCCCAAGGAAAATCCGTCTTCGCCCACTTCATGGTTGGCAATACAGGAGCCTTTGGCGTCAGCAACTGGGAGGCTAACATCGAGACTGCGCAACAAGCCAAGATCGATGCCTTCGCCCTGAACATTGCCCACGGCTGGTCACATAATGACGAGCAGATAGCCAATGCCTTCACTGCGGCCAGCGCCAAAGGCTTCAAACTGTTCTTTTCTTTTGACTACGCCGGCGGCGACGTTCCTTGGCCGCTTGCCGAAGTCAGAGCTCTTATTCAAAAATACGGCGCCAGCGCGGCGCACTTCCAGTATCAAGGCAAGCCCTTCGTGTCTACCTTCGAGGGCCCTGACAACGCCGATGACTGGAACACGATCAAGGCAGACACGGGCTGTTTCTTCATCCCGGACTGGTCGTCCCTCGGTGCTGGCCCGGCTTTGGACGCCGGTGGCGGCGTAGCCGACGGCCTCTTCAACTGGGCCGCCTGGCCTTACGGCGAGCGGAACATGACGACCTATATCGACGCCGCGTATCACGGACTGCTGGGCTCCAAACCCTACATGATGCCCGTGTCGCCGTGGTTCTTCACAAATTTGCCCGGATACAGCAAGAACTGGCTGTGGAAGAGTGGTGATCTGTGGTATGACCGCTGGAAGCAGGTCACTTCAATGGACTTCGAGCCTGAGTTCTTGGAGATCATCAGCTGGAACGACTACGGGGAGTCTCATTACATTGGGCCCCTCGACGATTCTCAGTACGAAGCCTTCACTGTTGGAGATGCCCCTTACAACTATGTCAAAGAGATGCCCCACGACGGATGGAGAACGCACCTTCCGTTTCTCATCGATCTCTACAAGACCGGCTCGTCCTCCGTCACCAAGGAGAGCATGGTGACTTGGTTTCGCACATCTCTCAACGATGTCTGTGCTGACGGCTCCACTACCGCCAACACGGCTAGTCAGCTACAGTTCGAGTATTTGCCGGGCCAAGTGATGCCGGACCGCATTTACTTCTCGGTTCTCTTGGCCAGCCCGGCCGAGCTGAAGGTCTCCTTCGGAGGCACCGACTATTCCATCAGCAACTGGGACTACACGCCGGACGGCGGTGTCGGAATCTACCACACAAGTATCCCGGTCCTTGGTACCGGCGGCGCTTGGCGTGCGCAAGTCGTGAGAGGAGGCAGTGTGGTCATCGACTACTCGGTGCCCCAGGGTATCTCTGGAAGCTGTCCATCCGGTGTCGTCAACTGGAACCCGTGGGTAGGATCGGCTTCCGCGAGCGGCTCCGTCTCCGGGAAGCCTCCGCGTGACCTGTCCGAGCAGACTTGCATCCAGGGCTGGGGCGAGGGCAACTTCAACGACATCTGTAAGTTCACCTGTAAGTACGGCTACTGCCCGTCCAGCGCCTGTGTCTGCACCAACATGGGCGAAGCCATCAAACGGCCCAAGTCGACAGGTGTCCTCGGCTACCCTGCCAACGGCGATGCCAATTACGGCGGGTTGTGCAACTTTGCGTGTAACCTGGGATACTGCCCTTCCACTGCGTGTTCTACGGAGAAGCATAACCCGTACGTACCCAAGACTTCACCTTTCAACCCAAACACCTGCACCGACGGCGGGGGACACGGGACCGTCTCTCGCCTCTGTTCGTGGACGTGCCACTACGGCTTCTGTCCTATTCACTCCTGCTTCTGCACCAGACAGGGCCCTCTCAATCTGCCTCCTCCGACGGTCAAAGTTAGCGGCGTCAAGGCCAACTTTGGCAACGACAACGGCCTGTGTGCTTTCGCCTGCTCTCACGGATACTGCCCTTCGCCCGAGTGCAGCTCCGATGGCGGTGATGGTGGCGGCGACGACGACGGCAATGGCTCCGGCGGCGGGAGCCCCGCCGTTAACGTGGTCGTCGGATACTTCCAAGCAGATAGCATCACCCGCCGAGGTTGCGCTCAGAGATCCGCCAGCTTCGTCCCGACGAATTCGGTGACGCACGTCAACGCGGCATTTGCGTGGGTCGAGGCCGGGAGCTTCTCCTTGATCCCCGGCTCCAGCACCGGGATTGACCAGCTCAAGCAGCTCACTGCGCTCAAGAGCCAGGCGCGTGGGCTTCATGTATGGCTCACACTCGGGGGATACGACTTCTCAACCGGCTCGCGTCGGGCATCGGATACGGAGGGTATCTTCGCCGACATAGTGAGAACCTCGCAGAGTCGGCAGAAGTTCCTGAACAATCTCGCCTCCTTCATGCAAGAATTCGCTTTTGACGGCGTCGACGTCGACTGGCAATGGCCAGCGGCCGGTGATGAGTCCAAGAACTATGCGCTACTGATTCAAGAGATGCGGCTGTATTTCAACTCGCACTCGGCGACGTCGTCGGCCTGGGGTATCTCTTTCACGGCGCCAGTCGAAAAGGAGACTCTCGCACGTTTCGACCTCGCAACCATGGCGGATGCCGCCAGCTGGATCAACCTCGTCGCCTACGATGCTGACAGCAAGGATCAGAGCGTCACGCGCGCCATGTCGGACCAGAAGTCCATCGAGGCCGCAGTCGACGCGCTGGGTAGCGCAGGCGTCCCGGCGACCAAGATCAACCTCGGCATCGGTTTCTTTGGCCGCTCATACACGCTGGGCTCGACATCATGCTCTGGAGTCGGATGTGCTGCGGTGGGCGCCGGAATCTCAGGACAATGTACCGGGAGACCCGGCTTCATGTCCTACGACGAGATTAGTTCAAACCTTGGTCTTCGTAACAGCAAGGTCGATGAAAGCACTGGCATCAACTACCTGAAGTATGTTTCTCATGTTTCCTGCTTGCTCTTGTGGGCTTTGTTGCCCGTGATCGGGACGTTCATGATGGCTAACTCGCTTCCTCAGCTACGGCGAAGATAACAAGCAGTGGATTTCCTACGAAGACCGCAACTCAATCATCAAGAAGGTCAAATACGCTCAAGGCAAGGGGCTTCTTGGACTCGCGGTCTGGTCCATCGACCTAGACGATGACGATCACCACCTGCTGAACGCCACGTTGTACCCAGGTGGTCTGGGGAGCTTTGCGTTGGCGACGGGCACCGACCAGGCCGACTCATCCAACTACACCTCGGTCGAGATCAGCTCGTGTACCTGGTCCGACTGCGGGACGTCGACGAGCCCGTCGTGCCCGCCCGGCCAGCAGGTCCTCACGACCGACCGCTGCAACGTGGCCTCGGGAACCGGAGAGAAGCTCTACAAGGCCTTATGCTGCCCGTTCGGGCAGACCCCCGACTCTTCGACTTGCGATTGGAACCGGTTGGACGGGGGCGACTGCGGCCGGGGCTGCGCCGACGGCCAGGTCCCCATTGCGTCGGACAAGTGGCTCATCAACAAGAAAGGGCAAGAGAACTACTGCTTCTTCGGCATGGCTGACTACTGCTGTGCCGCCGAGGAGTCAGGCCCCGCTGTATGCGGCTGGGAGAACAAGTGCGTGGCTATCGGGACCAACGGGCTGCCCACGTCCAGCACCAACGTCTGCTCGGCAGGTCGCAAGTTCGTCACGTACGCAAAGGACTCGCCCGTCGTCGGTGCATGCAAGGGCGATGGGAAGGTTAACTCCTGGGTACCTTACTGCTGCGACCAAGACGTCGACGTGTCGTCGTTCAAGTGGTCAGGGGTCGCAGGCACAGCCGGAGATGGCTCCGACAAGTGCAACGACGCGAGGATCTGTCCCCTGGGCAAGACCTCCATCGCCACCTCATACCTGGGTGCCGGAAAGGACTGCACATACTTCCAGCAAGGGTACGCACTCTGGAGCGCCCAGGCGTTCCCCCGCGACGTCAAGCGCACGTTATGTGCGGACCCAAACGCCCTTCGAAGGACCATCAAGACTCTCCCGGTGCCTTTGGAGAACATCTTCCCGCACCCGGGCCCGGGCACGGACGAGCAGAAGTGGCAGGTCGAGCTTGACCCAACCATGGGCGGCGCCGATCCCACCCCCGAGGAGAGTACCAACGCGGACAAGAACTCGTTCGGCTGGTATATCATGTCCGGGCCGAAGGCCGAGCTCACCTCGCTGGACAAGCGGGACGGATCCCACTGGGAGCTCTTCGACTGCGAGCCGGGCGCGAACCACGAGGGTCGGCAGACTGTCAGGGCCGTGTGTACCGACAGCTCCTACGAGAGCAACTGCGGCGTCATCCACGAGGGCCACGGAGTCGTAGGAACTGTCATCGAGATGCCTGCCGGCTGCGGTCCCGGGAGATATGCCATGGCCGTATCTCTCGAGCCGTCCCAGAATCAGTCGCTTCCTCGACATCTGGAGAAGCGAGCAGACGAGCTGGCCGACTCTCCTATCTTCGACCTCACCTTTGACTACGACTTCTCCCCCCTGAAGAAGCGGGCCGGCGGCTCTAACGTCCTGCTTCGCATCGACTACAGCGACGATCCCGGCTACTGGAACCATATCGTTGCCGCTGCTCCGACCAAGGTGAAGCGGTCAAGACGGGAGATGGAGGAGGAGGTCCAAGGGACGCACGGCGGGAACTACCACCAGTATCTCTACCACTTGTGGACAGTGGACAAGCGGTCTACGCCGGAGGACGAACTACACGACCTGCACACGCGTTGGTTTTCCAAGTCAGGCGCCATCAAGGACTGGATCGACCGGCTGCACAACGTCGACACCGAGTACGAGCTGGTTAGGCACACGGTCAACGAGCAGTTCCGCTGGAACATCTACGATGAGTCCGTGTCCTGTAACATCAAGGGCGTGGACACGACGGGCTACTTCACCGCGTGGGCGGATCTCAACGTCAACATCCAGTCGTCGGCCCTCGTGACGCTCATCGGAAACCTGCAGGACCTCAACTCCTTTGAAGAGTCCCACGTGCTGTTCCGCAACAGCGGCTCCGTCAAGGCGTCCATCAACGCCGAGGCCCTCGCTCACGTCGAGTTTCTCACGGGCGAGATCGAACTCTTCGGCCTCGAGAACTTTGGCGGCACCTTCACCGTGCCCGGCATCGTTACCATCGGTCCCAACTTCCGCGTGCTTGGCCAGCTGCAGGGTTCCGCGACGCTGCATGGGACTGCGCGCGTCGACCTCACACTCGCCGAGTGGGATTACACGCAGCAGTACCCCGACGCCAATGGCGGCGCCAGCGCCGGCGCCGTGACTGCGGCCAGGACGCCTAAGTCAAGCGGCGTACGCTCGTCGGATCCGCAGTCGGTGCTGCAGGCTCCCAAATTCTACTACGACGTGGACGCATCTGGCGAGTTGACCTTGTCAGTGGTGCCAAAGGTCACGCTGGGCATCGTTTTCAACGACGACTCGGTCTCGGACGCATCTGTAAGTAAAGTGGTTTCCTCGGCCGTGGATCACAATATACCCTCAGGCCCTCAGTCTGCCACTGACTGACTCCTCTCATAGATCGACTTTGGCGTCAATGGTCGAGTCACCTTGTATGGATCCGCTGGTTCCAGCTCCGACTCGACGTGGCAATACTGCTACGGCGTCAATGGGGATGTTGAGGTTTTTGCACAACTGAATGCTCCGTAAGTCCTGCATCTGCTTCCTTTCCGTCAGTTGAAGTCGCTAACCGCTGTGACTAGAACGCTGTTTGGTAAAAACATCAACACGTATTACCCAGTATGGGGAACTGGATTGGTAGCTCTCTTTCTCTTTCTCTCTCTCCTCCCTCTTCTCTTTTTCTTACCCTTGTTGGTATTCTAATGCATTTGTCCGAAATGCTGTCTGATCACCCGCTAATAACGTGTACGAGTTCAGTTCCCCATCATCCAACAAACCTGCGCTGCAGCCGCTTCGTCGGTCTCGGAGACGACCCCGTCGGCCCAGCCGGCCAGGCTGATGAAGCGCGGGGACTTCATCGGATCGCTCATCTGCCCTGCATCGGCATCGGCCTCGGACGACGTGACACCGTGCCCCTTCTGCTGGGAGTCCTCTGCCACGACTAGCGATGCGAGCAGCAAGATCCGGAGGCGATACGGCTACGTGCTGGAGGAGCGCGCCGACGATGCTTGCCCGTTGTACACTGACGCCGACGCGAACAACCCCAGCTGCACCCTTGACAACCTCGCGGCCCGCGGCACCATTGTCCGCCGTCTGACCAGCAAGGACGGTGTGGTCGACTATGGCACCGAGCAAATCAAGATAAGCTTCGGGCAATATGCGGGCTGCAATGATGCCAAGACGAGCAGCAACATTCTCAGGTCGATCATCTTCAGCACGTCGGGCCGACGATGCAATGCCAACGTGTTCAAGGCCACAAACACCGAGGCCAGAAGTGTCAAATTGAACACCGAACACGTTTACGAGGCGCAGACCCTCACCAAATTCTTTATGTGGCTGATGAGAGGGCCCGGCGTGACGGTCGGCAGCTACACCATGCCGACGGCGGAATGGGTGCTGGAGGTGTTGCTGGGTGTCGACATCCCAGGGGCTCAGCCGTACTCCTTCATCATGAATACAGCGCCTCTGGGCGTGAACATGCCTCCGGTACAGCTGGATACTGTCTTGATCTGGGGTTTCGGGCGGTCCGATGGCGTCGGCCCCTCGCCCTTCACCAAAGCACGCGGCGAGTCCCACCTAGTGCTAGTCGACGAAATGATCAACAAGAACAAGGGCAAATTCATGATGCTTCAAAAAGTATCTGTACAACCCGAAACGCAAGCGGTAAATTCGTACCGGACTACATATCGCGAGGTCTTTGGCGTGTTTGAGTACCTCCGGTGGTCGCCTCCGAGCGGCACGGGTGGCTCGGGCCCTTTCCCCGTCATTGAACCCGTGTGGAATAAATGGATGCGGGTGTCCAACTGGTTTGACTTGGTGCTCTGGGAGTTTGACAACCAGTACGCCGGACGCTGGAACGAAAGGGCCGGGGCTCCAGTGAACAGCAATGGCAGCCCTTCGCTCCGCGCCCTCTATGCTCGATATATTGAGGATTACCTCCTGGCCATTGAGCAGACGGCCGCCCTCAAGAGCAACGAGGCCAAGACCGCCTACGAGAATAAATTCAAAAGCGTCAACTCCTTGGGAAACGTGGTGTGGAGTAATACCGACGACCCGAATTGGTTCAATGCCGCGTTCGGCGCCGGAGGCTGGGCCAGTCCGGCGGGGGCTAGGTTTCCGCGCCCAGGATTCGGGGGCACGGGATGGTCCATTTTCGGCGCCACCGGGAATCCCACTAAGACCATTAACGGGCAAGGCGTCGCAGTCAACATTGGTGCACCGGCTCGTATATAGGCGGCGGCGTTGTTGTTCTTCTTGTCCGGCGGTTGATGGTGGGAGGGCTCCTTGGCGATAGTGGTTCTTATATGTGTATATCTCACAAAGACTTATTCTCATAGCTGCATTTTTGTAGATACCCCTTATTAGTATGTAGAGAAAAGATAGAAACGGCGAAAGTAAATACATGCATGACTATATACATGAGTCTAGAATCTACATTTGACGAGTCAACTTCAAAAGCATGTGGAATATAAGCGGATTGTAATGAATTGGTTGAGTAAGCTTCCAAGACCTGTGTTTCTCCTTGAACTTCAAAAGCAATCCCCACCGATTAAGTGCGAAGAAGCGTGCCCGCCTCTTCCAGAATTACAAAGTCCTCGGCTGGCGACTCTGACCGACGGTAAAGGCGAGCAGAGGGTCTATCTAGCTTGCATCGGCAAGTCCACTCCATCAACTACTCCTCGTTCACGAGCCTTCTCTCTTTCAAAATCGAATACGCCGTCGGGGATGAAATGCCTATAGAGAACATCTACCCCATATCGGCAGGAACTCAACGCCGACTCTCCTATCATTTCAAACGCGACTTTGTACCAGTTGAGTGGCGGTGTTCCTTCGTCCTCCTCATCATCATCGTGCTGGTCGCGAGACCGCCATTTGACCAGCAACCCTCTTCCGTACGGGCTGCTCTCAGCCCTCTCCACCATGTTGATATCCGGGTTTCTTGCTTCGCTTGGAAGACTTTGTGTCCAGGCGAGCGCCTCCTGCCAACGGATAAGGCCGGGCAGGTTCTTGGGTTTATCATTAAGCCTATCGACAACCACAATGCGACGGGCATAGTAGGCGTTACTTAATCCTTCTGGGAGGTACCATGAAACCGCCTCCGCCCTGTCCGCGATGGCCAGACGATTCTGGACTTCCCTCTCGTGATGAAGTATGCAAGCTGCGGCGTGCTGGAGACAGTGTGCGTCCTGAGGGTCCCGCGACGCGCGTGCGGCGAGACGGGCATACCAGGGGCTCTCTTGTGAAAGAACGAGGTCAAGCCCCACGTCCTCGGCAGAATACGGGCTCCCTGTTCCGGGCAGAGCTGGGAGGGGCATAGCAAAGACTTCAACTCTGTCTGGCAGCCCGTCAGAGCTGCGGCTATCTTTGGTGCCGTCAAATATGGCGCGGGCCAGGTCCTCAGTGCGTCCCGGATCAAGCGCGCCAGGAGAAGTGTCATAAAAGACGTAGGCGTACGCCGGGCGCAAGGGCGTCAGAGCGGCATCCTCCGGAGTGTCTGCGGGGACCGAGTATGCCACGAAAGCCGGAATACCGTCATGGCTAGGCGCTGAGTGAACGATGGTCTTGGGCTTCGGTTGGAGCTTCTTTCGAGGCGCCGGCCTGTCAAAGTCTATTGGCTGCGGCAGCGGCTCCTCGTCCTCCCGGTCGTGCACTGGGTCAGGCGGGGGCGAGGGTTCCGCGAAGCCGAGTCTGCGGCAACCATAACACATTGTTTCGATTTTCTTCGGCAGTACAAGCAAGCAGTAAGATTGGATTAATGGGCCGTCACGAAAAAGGTGTGTGTTGGGCTGCGGGCACAGTTGAAATCCTTGAAGAATGATGACTAATCATAATCATCCCAAGCTGTAGTTTCACCAGCATCACCACAGCCGATGCGATGAATGACTGACTGATTGCATATCATTTTCCCCCTACCTCTTAGTTGGCTACTGCTCGTATCCCGTTGTTTTCCATTTCTTGATATAAATGGAAGTTATCAACTGTGTATTCTCCGATACATTCTTCAGAAGTTTACTCCTAGAAGCGTAGCTGATGGAAATGTGGTCATAGATCGCAGGGGCACCTATACGCTAACCGCCACCTTAGCTTGCCCCCCCCCCTGTCCGCTTTGACTGGCATGAAATCAATCTTGAATCTCATTGGTGTTGTCGAAAATATTGCTCTTACAAAATATCTTCGTGATCTCTATTACTAGGATAATCTTCTACAATTTGCCATTCCCCGAACGCCAAGCAGCAGTAACCTTCTTGACAACATCGTGTTGCACAAGTATCTGACCCCATCAAGTCGTGCCTCTATATTTGTGCTCCAGCCATATTGTCTGACTGCTGCCATGATTCTTCAGTATCTTCGTTCGATTGAGGTAAAAGATATTGGTCCCGACCGACTAAGGTACTCGCGGTTTCTTCCCACTGCAACATGTTCCAGTCAAAGCCACCGTCGACTGACATCGGAAATTCCATCTCATCTAGAAAAGGAGTCGCAGGCTCCTCAGCTAACGAAGACTTCGGTATCTGAGACGACGGGGTCCCCGCAGAGTCTTCTTGCGGATGATTATTCATGTTGCCAAAAGTTTGCGAAGAGTCCCGCTGTATGTGCCGCGGGCCCGTCTCTTGAGGCTCCTGGTCACAGAGGATCTTTCCGCCCTTGGAATGGGGGGTTGCCGAGTCTGGCTGAACCAATGTCTCATGAGAGGCTACAGAAGTTGAGCCTGGATGAGAGAAATCTTCTCTACCATAAAGGGGTAATTTGAATGTCACCTGCGATGGGTGTGATGGTCCCAGCTCCTGTGTATCTGCGGTAGCTCTTGAGAGGCCGGGATCCTCATCGACAGATATGTTCTGAGACCCGACCCGTTGGCCACCCATCATGCCTGTAGTGGTCGAAGTGAATATGTCGCGAAATTGGTCTGCAACTTCCGGCTTGTGGACTACGACGATTTCGTAGAGTCTCTTCATCATCTCGCCGACCATGTTGCGAGATGCGCGAAACTCAGTCGGGCTGGAGACCTCGCCGCGTTCGAAAGCTTGTTGAGCCTCAGAGTCAAACATGGAGCGAGAGACCTCTTCAACTTTTCCTGTAATGAAGTCCCTGTAGTCATTGCAAAATCCGACTTCTGTGATAAGATTCTCATTGTCCTCGCAGACTTCAAGAGTGTTAGTTTGCAGAAAAGTCATCGGGCTGAGCCTTAGGAAGCCGACGCAAGAACTTACAAGGAGACTGGGTCCAAGGGCCACAGTCTGGAAAGAGAATGCTCCAAACTTTCTGGAAAGTGCCCAAATGCTTCTCGTAGGAAGCGTCGGTACCTTTCTTGGGCCTCGTTTTGCTGGCTTCCTTAAGTACTTCCTCGATGGCTTTCCAATCGTCCTCGTCCATGTGCAGTTCATCCTGAGAGCACCCGAAGTGCATCGAGTGCAGGTGATTCCTAAGTGATTTAGAACGCCTGTTGCTCTTTGGGACGATGCATTAACTTACTTCAGATCACTGAACGTCCTGAACGAGGTCGGCGCTCGACAAGCTCCACCCACCAACTTCCGATACCTCATGAAGTAGGGACAGAGCAAGTGTTTGCCTAGCTCGTCACATCGAGCCTTTTTAGCCGGCGGCACCTCTTGTTCCTTATCTTCATCCTCATCGTCATCCCTGCCTCTCTTGGTTTTCAAAGGCGGTGATAGACGGGTCGAAATGGTAGCACTGGCAGGTGTTGCTGAGCTTTGCTTCCCTGGCCCAGTCGAACGCTTTCCTTTTGAGGAACTTCCTCCGTCGACCGCTTCATATTTCGCATGGTTTCCCAAGGTGCATAGAATGCCCATAAGCAGTGTTGATACCTCCGAAGAATCATGGCTACGCGGTATGAAATCTTGAAGTCGACGTTGAAGGACGTCGACTACGGCAACGGCATACTTTGGGCTGGCAGCTAGCACCCTTCGAATAGAACTCTCCAGTGGATATTGGTCGTCTGACTCGAGTCGTTCCTCGTCTTGCCCAAAGTTGTTTTCGGAGGAGTCATCACTGTGGTCGCCATCTATGCTGCAGGGCTTTTGGTGTCCTTCTTGGAACGGGCCAAGGGAATCGTCTTCAAAGAACGAGCTGGCCGTCGTATCTGAGATGGACTGCTGGCTGACTTGATCGTCGAATATCGACCCTGTTTGAATAGTCGAGTCTGCAGCTGAAGATACGGATTCTATCAGTCGTTCAGATCTTTCTGAAGTCGTCTGCGCTCGAGCCTTCTCAAGGGACGTTGTCCCTGGACTAAACGACGGAGTCAGTCAGCGTCCCACTGTTGCGCTAGGGTAAGAAGCAACTGACCCTTTGGGGGTAAACTTCCCGTGGTGCTTGGAGCTTAATTTTGGAAATATTTGAAGCCAATTCACCCCATCTGCTGAGTTTTTTGTGAAAACATCGTCGAAATTTGCAATGGTCTCTCTCAAGCGTGCTAGGTACGATTTTCTTGACTCGTGTGTGTTTCCCCCATTGACAAGAAAATCATCTGAGCGATTGTAGTCGTTCTGAAATGCAATCAACCTCCCATGCGAGGAACTTTGGTGCGATGATTCTCCCGTTGCATGGGTCTCCGCTGTGGGACCACGGGGGGCCGAAGCCTCTACTTCTTTGTCGGGGCAAGTCGGTTCCACAGGGAGTCCCGCAGTCGTTGGTATCACCGCGCCGTTGTCATCACTGCTACCGCAAGGAGGGGATTGAGGCATGTCGTGCATTGAGAAAAACCTTTTCGTCGCCCACAATGCTTAGGAATTCTGATAATTGAAGTTGTAAGGCGATGACAACATGGGAACGATCTCAGGCGGACCGCCGACTTTTTGTACCAACCCGAATATAAGTTAGCAGAAGAAAGGGGTTAACTTGTCCAGGATCGTGGACAAATTTTTTTAATGGCCTGCTTGGTAAAACGCAATGTCGTCGTTCGTACCTTTCCCACCTACCCCCTAAGGTAAGGTACTTCAAGTCCTTGTATCCTGCAAGTAGGTAGGCTGTGGACGTTTGTGGCGTTCACCGGCCGCTCTCATTGGAAGACATCATCGTTACAGTGCTTTGTCTGCCGGGCGCTATTTCCCCAGATGTCCTCGATTGTGGGAAAGTTCGACGTATATGACGTACCTCAAGCCACGATTAAGCAATCTTTGGTACGCTCGTGTGATCAAATCATGTCCATGCACTGAGGCTCAAATTCCGCTGGCAGGGAATTTCAAGACCATACAACGGCGTTCTTCTTCATCGTTATTAGCCTAAAGCTTCTTTACGATGTCGATAAGATCATCGAGGAGATCCTAGTGTCTTCCTTCTATCCCAAGAAAGCCGGTTCATAAAGTCTCAAGCGCAAGCGCGAGTCTTTGGCAAAAGAGGACGAGGTTACCAATGTAAGGCGACTTTACAACTACGCAAATCGTCCTGCGGAGACAGCACAAGTCTACATTAGTATATCGTGAGTCTCTGCGTCACTCCTCTGGGATCCTGTCCGGTGTTCCTGAATCATGGCGTCCATACTGCTCCATCCTCATAAGACTCAGTGCTAATGCCAATATCTAGTGCAGAAAGAAGGTGCTCTACCAAGACTTCCCGTGCGTTGCTATCAAAAGCGTTGTGAAACTCCTAGAAGAGCGCAATAATTGTCTGATGCAGGCATATCTCGCGCTGGATGAGATCACCACGACTGGAAAGCCGGCAAAATTCAAGCGGGCTTCGAGTTCAAATGAACCAGAACACCGCCTAATCGGGAGCTCGAGCTGGCGAATTTGAATTGGACTCTTCGTGACTCGTCACTTCCTGACAGGAAAAGAGCACTCGAGGAACCGCGAGCTTCTCGGCAAGTATGCGAAACAGAGCAGTCCAAGCGCAACTCGGCCAAGGGCAAAGTTTCCGACGAAGCAAACAACTTCAAATAAGGCTGGGGAGAAGGAATAATTGTGCTGATCGATCAATCACAAATCAGGCAAAAGTTCGCTTAAACGATTTGTGCCATTCCTCTCATGCCCGCCCTGCCGCCTTGACTAGAAGCCGCGGCCAAGCAGTGTCTTAGTACAGTGATGATTCTGAGCATCTTGATTAGATCGAAGGCTGAGGACAACGACATTCGCCAAAGCGAGCTTCTGGCCCGTACGTACCTTAGTAGGACCATGTACCGCACTGGCTGGGCTGCTCGGATTTACCGGCGCGCGGGGAATCACAGTCAGGTTGCATGCCGCATGTTTCGATGTAGCCCCCGCGTCCCGTCGCACGACGATTCCGGAAAGCGAGAAGCGGGCTGCCGGAAGTCGTTGACAGCAGCCGTTGCACGGTGGCTGTGGATGTCGCGAAGAATTGCGATTCCTTGAAGGCGAGAGCCGCACAGAATACGCGATAGCCGTCATTGGCAGAAATGGACCTGTGACAAGCCCATGGCAAATCTCATCCAGCGAGTCTAGCCCCAGCTCCGACAAATGCTCCTTGGTATTTGTACCAAGTTCAACAGATAATTGAGCGTCTTTCGTTGGCATGTTTTTGTATCAGTCACGGAATATTATCGCAAGGATTTAGACGAGTTATGTTTAAAACACTCATCTACTCATGAAACGTGCAGTTTGTTCCCGCACCCATCTACCTTGGTGACCTTGTTATGTTCTCAGTCTTGGATGAGTAGCCTTCCAAATCTTCCTTCACTCAACATGTATGTATGATGAGAAATACCACAGAGCTTTTTGTTATGAATGGGGCTTAATTTGATATGTGCAATCCCCGAAAGGCTGCAAGTAGCTTTTGCTTTTCCTACTCCGAGCGTGAAAGCTTCGTCAGCGGCCCCCGAAGACTCAAAAGATATTACCCACCTAAAAGTCCTCAACCTTGCCACCACTGACTGCATCAATATATCCTTCGCTCTTCCAAGCTGTCCAATTATGGTTAGTTACGAAGGCGAACATCATTTATCGGGCAAGACAATTGACTTACAGCTAGTCTTCCTCGCAGGTACTCTGGCGCGGAACATCATGTCGACCTCATCGAGAGTTTTCCCCTTCATCTCGGGGAAGTAGAAGAAGCCCCAAACAACGCTGATAAAACTGAACGACCCATATATAAAACCCACTTTGGGTCCGAGGTTACCATACCCAGAATTCATGAGGTATGGCAAAGTAAACGTGGCGACAAAGTTGGCAAAATTGTTTACGGTCCACGCCATCATAGCAGTTATGCCGCGAAGATGAGGCGAGGGAACTTCAGCAGGGGTGATGGCGGCCCTGGAACACGGACGAGTTGGCTTTGGCTGAAGCATCGTCATAGGCAATTAGCTCGAACAATAAGCCCAGGCAGATTGGATAGGAATGAATGGTGAACTCATGGAGATTTAGAATGACTTACAGCTGTGCAAGAGAACCTAGAAAAGAGAATCCAGATAGTGACAGCATGCAAGCTGTGGCTAGCTTCTCAGGCTGTGACGGATCTCGTATGGTTCCGAGCCCTCCAAGAATCATCATGGAGACGCCTCCCAGCGGCACCAAGGTTTTCCAAAAGAAGTGGCGACCAACTCGGTCAACCAAGAGCATAAACGATAGAGATCCTATCAGCCCGGAGCCTTGAGAGATGATGGTGAAGACGAAGGGGTTTATGGTGCCGAGACTTTTGTAAAATATTGTCCCATTGACATTGGCAAACGCTTGGCCAGTCGCCTGAGAGAAGAAAGGCGGAAGCAAAGCAATAGTAGTCCGCCTCTATTAGGGTCGCTTCTAGTCAGCTTACAACAGTTAACCAAGTATGCGGATGAAAGGGATTCGAAGGTTTTGAGGCAACATACAAGATTGTCGCCGCGAAATAAGTCCGCCCAGCAACCTTTCTCTGTGTGCAGCTCTAAGTTCGCCTTCATAGCAGCAAGTTCGAATTCACCGTCAAAGTCAGCTCTGCCGTCGTTTAGACCTTGAAGATTCACGAGTGCCTCTTCATATCGTTCCTTCACCAACAGCCAGCGGGGCGACTCTGGGACGAATACGGTTCCCAGAATCATCAAACTGGAAATAGAAAACAGTACAGCGATCGGCGTCTTCCAGGATGAATTGCTCGGCCATGTTGACGTGGAAAACGATACACAGCTAATGATGATCGTGCCGAGAAGGCGGCCGATCATGTAGCCGGAACCAAGCATGCCGCGAATCTTTGCTGGGACAACCTCGACAATGAACAAGGGAACAAGCCAGCGTTTCATCCCCGTGTAAATGCGAACAATGCAACAGCCTGCGAGTACCTGGCCAAATGACTGCGACGTGTATGTAACAGAGACACCTGCAATACAAATGAGGTTGATCAGGATGTAGACAGTCTGCCGCCCACAAGTTTCGCCGATGGTGGAGGCAAAGGGAAGACCAAGTGCATAGGCAAGAAAGGGAATCGAGTTCAATAGAGAAAGCCTCGTAGTACTGATTCTGCAGACTCCTTACGCATCGCATGTGTCTCCAAATCGCTGTTGAAAGGCTATATCACGAACACAACGTCAAGAATAGCTCGTTGTCAATAGTCGGGAATTGAGCGAATTTGGGCAGGCTCAGTGTTCACTCACAGTCCATGGCCTGAATTGTATTGTAAACTGAGAGATCGAAACCGTTACTGAGCACGTTCAGACCCAGAATGAGGCAGAGCAGTCCCATGCTCCATGTGACATCTTGACTAAAAGGCAGCCGCCTGGCTGGAAGCTAGATCGTTCTCATGTTTCTGTACAACAAACGGCAGAGCAAGTGAATTGTCTGCTCAACTGAAAAGCAATTTCAAGACTTGTAGACAGAACAAATCCATCAACTGTATATCAAGATCACCTAACCTTCCGGAGGCCGCAAGTGATCTTTAAGAATCCAGGAGCGCTTCAAGTGAGCCTAGAACTCGGGTTTCCCCCGCATAATACCCCGGATTTCGAGGAGGCCGGTGGTTTCCACATTGTCCGCCTACCTTATTCGTCCCGGTGCTTGAGTGTCAGGGTCAAACATCACCGACAGCCGTTGAACAAGTATGTAGTTGTTGTGCTCGGAAATTCCGAGCGCAAGCTCTGAAGTTCTGAACTTCGTTGCCAGAAGAGTCTTGGAGTGGTACGTGCTGGGAGTAACCCCGCAGATCCGGTATTCCCGCAGCGGCACCGGCTCGGGCCTCTACCTGACCCTGAGACCCGCCGAGCAGTGAAGCATCTATGCGTTTCGTCTAGTCCAATAGCCATAATAATCTGTAATGAAGCGGCTACAGCTGTGGTATTTGATCTTTCAAGCCTCTTTGACAACTTCAGCTTCTCGCGATAACTAATACTTTTCTTCGCATACTTTCTGCGGACATTCAGCCATGCAAACATCCAAACGACCCAACTTTCTCGTCATCGTCGCTGACGATCTAGGGTTTAGCGATACAGAGCCATACGGCTCCGAGATATCCACCCCGGCTCTGCAGCGTCTTGCCAAGGATGGTCTGCGTATGACAAACTTCCATACGGCCCCAGCATGCTCGCCTACAAGATCCATGCTTCTCTCTGGCACGGATAATCACATTGCTGGACTGGGCCAGATGGCCGAGTTCATGATGGGTGCGCGACAGAAATACGATGGTCACCCAGGATACGAAGGCTATCTCAACTTTCGCGTTGCTGCTTTGCCTGAGATACTTCAGGATGCCGGCTACTTCACTCTGTGCTCGGGGAAGTGGCATTTGGGCATGACTGCCGAAACCTCGCCCTCTAGCCGCGGTTTCACCAAGTGTCTTTCCTTTCTCCCGGGCGCTGGGAATCACCACAATTACGAGCCGCAACTTGATGCGAGACTTCCCCCTTTCATCAAGAGCTCTGGTTTTTGGATGGAGAACGACAACTTCATCGATCGCAGCAAAGACTTGCCTGAGAACTTCTACTCGAGTGACTACTTCACCGATCGCCTGCTCGGCTTTTTAGATGAGCGCACAGGGGAGGAGAAACAGAAGCCTTTCTTCGGATATTTAGCATACACTGCACCACACTGGCCGCTACAAGCACCACGGGAGAAAATTGCCAAATACCGTGGGTTGTATGATGACGGACCGAAAGCTCTCCGAGATCGACGTCTGCGTCAGCTTCAGAAACTGCATCTGGTCCCGAAGGATGTCATTCCGGCACCAGTAGACGTACCTGGTGCTGTTGAATGGAGTGAAAGGGGTGAAAAGGATAAAGCCACGGCAGCCCGAGCCATGGAAATCTATGCGGCCATGGTGGACAAGCTCGACGACAATATTGGACGTGTCATCGAACATCTCGAGGCCAGTGGCGAGCTCGACAACACATTCATCGTCTTTATGTCTGATAACGGTGCCGAGGGTTCCACCATGGAATCCATGCCCATCATGGGCTCACTGGGCATCCGGGAGACACTTCGCCAATTTTATGATAACTCATATGAGAACATGGGAAATGCCAACTCCTTCATCATATATGGGCCGCAATGGGCTCTTGCTGCCACAGCACCTTCGCGAGGCTTCAAAGGCTTTACCACTGAGGGCGGCATACGCTGCCCATGTATCGTGCGGTATCCTCCCCTTGTGAGGAAGGAGGGAGGCATCAGTCACTCCTACACAAACGTCATGGATATCCTACCTACGATGTTGGATCTGGCAGGCGTGTCGCATCCCGGTACAACTTTCCGCGGTCGTGAAGTGGTCGCTCCACGAGGGAAGTCCTGGGTCCCGATGCTTAGTTCCAAGACGTCCGAGGTATACGGCGAGGGTGAGGACGTTGCCGGTTGGGAGCTTTTCGGCATGAGAGCGATACGGAGAGGTAAGTACAAGGCTGTGATGTTGCCTCCACCTCATGGCACCGGCGCATGGGAGCTTTATGACATTGATAGTGACCCAGGCGAAACTAAAGACCTGGCCGCCTCAGAGCCGGGAGTTATGAGCCAGCTGTTTCAGGACTGGGTCATTTATTTCTCCGAAACAGGAATGATCGAGTATCGTGTGAGAGGGGAAAAAGTTGCAGGCATGTAATGTTCTGGGATAGATGCATAACAGCTTAGCGTGGGACGCATACAGCAGGGGAAAAGCATCTGCTATGTCGTGCTCTGATTACTATATATTGGACTTTGAGTGATTTATTTTTCACTTTATACATGTATCTCTATGTCCAATTGTTATGAGCTCCCTAGCCGTTAAGAAATTTGTGCTGATGGTTGAGATCTGAACTGTAGCAGTTGCTGATGTCGGCTTGTAGTTCCCACGCTCTATGTTTATAAGCCTTTTTATTCTTCTTCGTGTCTCTAATCTTGAACGGCATGTACTTGACAGACCGGAGACTGTTCATCATAGCTCTTTTCACAGACAGTGTCTCACCAAGTTCCCTGCTCTCATTCTCGACACTGAGACCGTATTAGTCGTTGACTTTATCCACCAAAAGCCTATGAAAGCTTCGCTACCGCGCAAAACCATCCAGGCTTCCTCTGAGGGAGACTGCACCATCTCCACACTCCGCACATCAAGCATCTAGTACATGCGGAGAACATGCTCAACCTATCGCAAATATATCAGTATCAAAGCTAGCATTTCTCAGCATCAAGGGAAACTTACAGCCGGGCTGGGGCTTGCAGCACTTCATCGTCTCCATACCAACGGTGCCGGGCTCAGATCGCTGCCTCTCACCAGTGATCTCACAAGTCGTCTGGCAGGGCAAGTCCTCAGGAAGATCACAGACCCAACCCTTGGTGAGGCCTCGCGAGATAGGACCGACGTCTGACTTGCAGACCTCGGGGGCGGAGCGGCAGCCCGCCATGACGCCGAGGGACATGGAAGCAATAACGAATGCCTGGGTGAACTTCATGATGACTGATTCATGTGTAGAAAAAGGATTGAAGGTGATATTATTGCAAGATCGACTCTATGTGGTTAGCGGGTAGTTACAATCACATCTACAGAGCTCGAGCGCTACTACTTATACCTAGAAGCTGAAGGAGCTACCCGCTCAAGTACATGTTATTGTCCGCGTACCTCCGACCCCCAGTTTCTGTCGTCGAGTCTAATAGATTGGCTGGTCGTGAGGTCTGGCCTCATGCTGGCTTTACACTGTTGATCACAATCCCCATGGACTTTTGATTCATGATCCGCTATTCTTCTCCGTACTGGCGAGTCAGTACGAATGATACGAACGGGTCATCCCACGCGGCGACAAGCGAGTCATTGTACGACGTTGAGCATCACCAGACTACAGTGCTTCATGCTGACCCTGAGTACGGCAGGCTGGCCAATCGGTCTTGCAAAACCCCACGGAGAATGAGGGTCATAGTATTACTCCCGCGGTGGTCCATTCGCGGTCTCAGTGTGGAGTCACCGCGTCAGGCGGTTTCCGCTGTGTGATGGTGTCTACGGAGTACTCTCTCGGGTCGTTAATCACTTTATAGATATCCTCCCCTTTTTATATTAAAATGATGATAGTTTGAAGCTCCACATATTAGAAATTGAACCTTTTGGCAGTTTATACCGCCTCGAATGACGTTGTAGCGGGGCAACATACGATGCCCAACTATCTGTGCAAAGATAGAGTTCATCTCACACCTGTGTCTGATAAATGAACGGGGCAATGCTGCGGGCCACGGGCAGTTGAAGTTTTTGCAGTTTCGGCTATAACCAAGTGTCCGTGTTTGCGGCTCAACAACGTCCCGCATATTAGTGAGCCCGGCCGCAACCACAAGGAAGACATCGTGAATCCACTTTAGCCCACCAAAACTTCAAAAACATACAACACCAGGTATTCGCTGGTCGTCACCGACCCAACTACTAATCCGGCCCTCATTGGCTTATCTATGGGAGAGCGGACGGGATCCCGAGTTTTCCAATGGGTATGGTCGTATGTGGTGGTT